CAATTACCCCCAAAATCAATCCCAGCATTCCCTTTTTGGTATGGCACCTTGCAGTACAATTTCAGAGAGATCCATACACTTGAACACAAGTTATTGTCTGAAAACTAGAAAAATGCTTATTTTTTGCCCCTTTTCGGCACCAAATTCCTAAACGTTTTGGGCAATACCCCCAAACTCAATTCCAGCTTTTCCTATGTGATATGGAACCTTGTAGTACAATTTCAGAAAGATCCATACACTAACACACAAGTTATTGTCATGAAACTTGAAAAATGCTTGTTTTTTGCCCTTTTTTTGGCCCCTAATTCCTAAACTTTTGAGGCAATTACCCCCAAAATCAATCCCAGCATTCCCTTTCTGATATGGAACCTTGTGGTACAATGTCAGAGAGATCCATACACTAACACACAAGTTATGTCGGGAAGTTACAAAAATGATTATTTCTGGCCCTTTTTCGGCCCCTAATTCCTTAACTGTTGGTACCATAACCCCCAAAATCAATCCCAACCTTCCTTTTGTGGTATTGAATCTTATGGTAAAATTTCATAGAGATCCATTCACTTAAACTAAAGTAAGAGTGCGAAAACCAATGTGTCTTCGGACGACGACGACGCCGACGACGACGACGACGACGACGCCAACGGCATACCAAAATTTTTTGCGGTCGTATAAAAATGACAACGTGTATGAATTTATTTAACGTTTGTACATGCACTGATATATGTAAAACATATATAATTAATTATGAAAATGGATATATAAGAGGTATCTACTAAAAAAGGTATAGAAAACATGATTTATTCCTCACTTAAAATGAGGCTTTAAACTTATTTCCGGTAATTCAAATTTCAAAACAGAAACTATAAAAATGTCAATACAAATAATGGCAGGTCAAAAAGAGATGCCTTTCATCAGTCCTGTCAGTATCGAAGAACTGACTACTGTGCTGGTGATACATCCGGGGACTGATAGTCCACCAGCAGCCGTATCGACCAATGGCTGTAAAAATGAAAACAACACTTTATAAATTTCATACGTCTGAAGCGCTTTTCTGGATATACCTTCCTCAGGAACGCACAAAGCCGAATAGTTTGAAGCTAACCAAGCATGTATAAGAATAGAAAGAACTATTATATGACAGAAAAAAAAAGAACCTAAAAATAATTGCCAAATCCATTTTAGGTCAGTTTTGACTACGGATTTGAAACCTAAGATTCTTAATAATTTACATTTAATTTTTTAAATGGAAGAAAGGTTTGAAATAAATCATTTCAGTACCAAAATATATAAGATGCTTGCTGACAACCATTGTTATGTTATCTTATTTATGCTTCTTATATGGTTGATTATTTTTTTATGTACCTTTTTTTAAATGATGGCGCTGAGTTATAATTGACATGTGGCAACTAGGCATAGTTCAGTGAACAAAAAACAACGCTCGATTCTTTACTGCCCAGAATCAATGAATTACAATAAAAAACACAGCATATCACAAACAGACGAAGAAAGAATACCACTTTACGGGATGTTTATGATGACGTATTCCTCCGCGTGGAAACGCAATGGCTATTGTCTGATACCATTAAAGGCGCTGCCTTTAAAAACGGGCCCAAAATCCAAAATCTAAATAAACAGTTAGATTCAGTATATTCAAGAACCAAAGAACTCAAAACTTTGAATTAATTTCCATTGAAATTGTTCAGGATTAAGCAATTTATACAAAGTATTAGAAAAGTATTGTTTTTGGTCCCATTTTCCTAAACGGGTAGGGCCAAAACCCCCAAAATCAATCCCAACCTTACTTTTTTGGTATGGAACCTTGTGGTTCAATTTCATAGCGATCCATTATAAAATTCCCTTAAGGTTTGACAAAATTATTGATGTCTGAAAAACTTAACAATAAACTAAATGTTAGCTTCTAAAATAAAATAACTCCATTTATAGTAAAATACCGAAAATGAAAAACGAAAACTATTTTTTAAATTTTTGATCTGGACACTTTTTTTTATCATGACAACGGTTCAAGTTACGTGATGTTTATTTCATGAACGACAAAACTATTGATGTTATTGAAAAATTAAACCACAGACTGAACAGATTGTCGACGTCAACAACGATGAAATGTGGGATCGCTTTGTCTCGATTACGAGACTTTCTTCACAGGATCGAAAACAATGACAACAAAGAAGATTCAGTATAACTGATGTCCAATGAACAGTTTCCTTTTAACTAACATGCTTGCTGTTGGTAGCCCTGGGTTGCTCTTAAGTGGGACAAAAAAAAACATAACTCTTGTTGGTGTTGTTCATTTATAGAGTAATGAGAAAATAGAACGTCGAATTTTCTATAGATGATATTATATGATTCCAGTCTCCAATTTGTCTACGTATCATCACTAAACAGCACAGAAGAAAATATATTTGCAACTGGAAATGTACCTGAAGGACAATTTTAATAATGACAGGACTTAATGACTGTAAAGAAGATCGCGTCCTGCGGACGAACGGGTTTATCAAAATAGCACATATAAATTATAAACTACGCATGTGTTTTGTAACTAATATTAAATTATCGTATAACCGTTGAATCATCATCAACTTTTCAATTCAATATAACCTGTCAAGTTACCCGATTTTGACCCCCTGTCTCGATTGGACGTGGAATTTGCCCTAAAACACGATTTAATAAATATATACAAGAACATTTTGATGGTTCTCGATTTTAAACTTATTCCAAGGGATACAATCTTGCAAGTGAAAATTTGTCCACAATTATCACGTTTTTTTTATATAATTTCTAAATATATAAGTCGAAAACTCAAATCAACTTTCGAATCTCGCTTGTTCATAATATAATTGAGAATGGAAACGGGGAATGTGCCAAAGAGACAATAACCCGACCAAAGAGCAGAAAACAGCCGAAGGCCACCGCTTTCATGTCGATCCGGCCCCACGTCGATCCGGCCCAAGTCGATCCGTCCCACGTCGATCCGGCCCAACGTCGATCCGGCCCATATTTAAAGTCGATCCGGCCCAATAAAAAAATATATTTATAAGGAATAAAACTAAAGATATATATTAATTGTAATTCATAAATGTTTATGAATTTTATTATAATGTAAAAGGTGTACAGTAAAAAAAAATTGACCTTTGACAAATATTTTCTTCAGATGAGTTTAAAACAACTATGTTGATTATGTTTTCAATACAAGTTTTCAAGATTAATGGATATATATTATATATGTATACGTACTGCGTATGATAGTTACTGTATATGTTATTGTAGTGCTGCAAGTGTGACCCCTTTTATATTATGTAAGTGACAGTGTAACTGTTAGTGCAAATGATTTAAGAGTTATATATATTTATGTGAGTGTCAGAGATAGTGTGTTTGTTAGTGCGTATGAATTTATTGTTATATTATAGTAATGCTGATATTATATTTTAGAGAGTGAAAATGTGCATTCAGTGTAATTATTTTGTTATTATCTTGCAATAAAGAATAATGGATACTCATATAACTTGTCTTTTTTATCTACACACAACTATTCAAAATATTGTCAACTTTAAAAAAATATATTGACTATATTCGATATTACAAAAAAAAATGTATTATAGAAGCCTCTGATGTTACCTTAAAAAAATACAATTAATTATTATAACACATAACACCAAACAAAAGATCAAACTATAAAGACCTTGTTGATTACGTAACTTTAATCAATCAGGATTTGATTGAATTAAGTGATTACAAGTGGCATTACCTTTGTTCACATTCATTAGACAATTGTTGAATAAACAAACCAATTATAGACTAATGATTTGATTAAACAAGTCATTATGATGAGTTAAATTTTATAGGTTCCATTGGACTGTAAATATTTATTTAGCTATTCTGTGTGTGAATTAAATAAAATAAAAATCGCCATGACATTCAAAGTTATCATGGAGAATAACTTCATATTAAAATATGTTGAAGCTGCTACACAAACAGACACAATCACACTCATTTTCGTATCGATGTAAAATAATTCTTTGACTGGTACTCCAATACTTCACTTACCTGTTTTCATCCATCAACGATACTTTTTACAAATTCCATTTATACTGTTAAAATTTGTCACAAAATCCTCCAAAGTCAATATAGTTTATTCATATTTTATTATGGGGCCGGATCGACGTAGGGACGGATCGACGTGGGCCGGATCGACTTGGGACGGATCGACTTTGGGCAGGATCGACTTGGGGCCAGATCGGTTTGGGGACGGAACGACCGGATACCAGGCCACCAATGGGTCTTCAACACAGCGAGAAAATCTCACACCGGGAAGCGGGATTCAGCTGCCCCCTTACAATAATGTTTTCTAGTTCAGCGATAATGGACGCCACTCTAAACTCCGAAACATATAAATGAATCAAAATTAAAAAAACATACAAGACTAACAAAGGTCAGAGGTTCCTGATTTGGGACAGGGGCAAAAATGCGGCGGGGTTAAACATGTTTTGTGAGATCTCAGCTCTCCCCTATACCTCTAGCCAATGTTGAATAAACGACTACTAGCAGTTACTTACATGCAAGCTGCAGACTTCAATTAAAATGAATGAAATATTATATTCTCATTTATCAGGCGTTGGAAGCATTACATGTTACTAAGTATGCAGAGGCTGAAAGACGTTTTGTTTGAATATCCCTTTGGTATTTTTTGCCCCTCTTTTATAATGCATAGGCTTTTGTTTGAATATCCCTTTGGTATTTTTTGCCCCTCTTTTATAATGCATAGGCTGAGAGAATTTTTCTCAAACGACTTTAACATTATTACATATTTTACACATTCGTTTGTGTTTCTATTTTAAGTATCTGTAAACGAAACGTTAAAATAGGAAAGTAGTTCCGTCATTTAACAAACTCTAAATACAATGTGATCATTGCCTTTACATCCCTCTACATGATTGTTGATCAAAAACTAAACACTTTCACTATATTCATAAGTCGTTAGCACAAAAGTTCAAATTCTTGTTTCTTGAATATCGGTATAAAATAATAACAGAATTCAAGATAATAAATAAATAAATTAAACCACATGTAATTATGCATTTACATTTTTTGTATTACTTTTCTGTTTTCCATAAACGATCGGTTTATATTGCGGTACTTGGGAAGGTTCATTGCAGTCTACAGACGTTTTTCCAGAACTACCATCAGAACTCTCGTAAGCTCCACCAGTTTTTCCGAATGGCGGTCGTGATTGGAATTTACCTGATTTGGTGACAAAATCTGTATCTCCCTTTTGAGTCAAATGTGAAGGTGACTTTTCGACTCCACTTCTCCCCGGAGGACGCAATGGCGTTTTATTAAATTTGTTATCTATTTTTGTATCTTCAGGTTCAGATTTTGTAAAAACTGTCTTTGGTTTTGCATTTGTTTTGGGTCGGTCGTTGCTTAAATTAACCTTAATTTTTGGAACGCAGTCGGCACGTGCATTTGAACTTTCAGCATTACCACTCAAGGCAGCAATTCTGTCTTTGATAGAAATTTCAGACTTTAATTCAGTTTTGTCTATATTGTTCTGTTTATGTTTTGGAGAAAGCAATATACTATCTTCAGATAATGAAGTTTTTGGTTTCTTCAGATTTTGATCCCTTTTTTGTTTATTTATAGGGTTTCGGTTCTGTAAACAAGATTGTTCTGAATTGTTTTTGGCACTAAATTTCGACGGTGGTCGAAGTTCTGATGTTTTAACATTTCCATTCACAGTACGACTATCACTTTTGTTGCCAGAAGCAGACTTATGAAGATTTGATTTCAAATTTACATTTGTATGGCTATTTAAAGTCGGAAGAGAGATAAGATGCTTCGTGGAATTACTATTTTGATCCCCATTAGAAATTGAAGATAAAGGCTTTCGAAGAGGAGGTTTAGATGGCCTTGAATGTGTCTCCTGTAACAGAACAAAATGTTGATATTATTCATAAGCAATGTTAGATACATAATCGATTAATATACACCTTCAATTGTCATGCAAATACCAGAATATTGTGAATTCAGGAAATTTAACAATGTTTTCATTTAAGCAATTAAATTAATAAAAACGTTCCAATAATAATAATTTTCTCGAATATTCAAAGAGTTCAGTATGCTCAACTATGAACAGGAATTGTGAATTGCCCAAAATCATATATATAAATGCCCTGCAGACACTGTGATATTTATATCAATCAGCTGCGAAATCTTAGTCAAAATCCTCATTAGGCATATCGTACAAAGGTCGCATCATAATGAACATATAATAAATTTTAGGTTAATGTGACCACCACTTCATGGTAAACCACAATGCTAAACTTAACAATCAATATCACATTTCCATGTTCAGAGAACCGCTAAAATGTATGACATATAGTTTAAAAAATAACATCACAAAGAGCATGTTCTCTGTCTCTACTAGTTATACCATACGTATTGCTAATGACGAATACAAATCAAGAGATTTATTTAAGAGAGCCATTAAAAGCCCTTTGTTCAGCAGTTCATCAACCCCTATGAAAGTAATCCCGATGGAAAAACTTATTCTATGGCATATCTCAATCTCACATTTACTCAAGGTACCACTTGAATGTTGCCTCTGACAAGCACTGTCAAACATAATCGGTATAACTGAACTGGGAGTCAATGTTGAACGACAATGTTTGCTTCTTTTCAATCTGACAACGACATGTATGAAGCATTTGAATAGATATGATATGTCTTGGTAATAATCAATATTCATGAATATCAATATCAAGTATTTATTTTTTTTTGCCCATCTACGTATACAGTTTTGCCAATATTAAGTTACAGAAATAAAAATTTACTTTTAGTAAATAAGAAGCAATGCAATAATGTTAATTCAGTTTTACAAGAGTTAATGTGCCTAGAAATATTGTCAGTATTACAATATTCTCAAAAAAATCATAAGTTTGAACAAAAAAAAATATCTGTCAGTTTAAATGAATTCTAATATTATTTGACCAACGCCGAATTGAGATTAAACCGATTCTACAAAAATATTACAACAATACTGAGTGTTTTTGTCAAATAACCAGTACCGTTAGTGATAAATTAACACAAATTTTAGCCAAGTTTTGAAAAAGGATATGCATATGGTAGAAGTTTCTATCTTTTGATTGCAAGATTACTATTCCTCATTTTCTTCAATATCAAGTAGAAAGACATAGTCATTTGGTAAAAACTTTACGCTTATCTGTGCACCGTGTTTTGCCTAATTCAATTCAATTCAAATTAAAGAAATCTGCTGTTTTCAAGAAGAAGAAAAAAACATCTCTCGGAATTTTGACTTCATCCAATTTTCTAAATGATTGAATTCAGTTGTCAATAATCGTGAAACCAGTAGTCATCTTGTGCCACTCTTTACTTCATAACTGCTAGGGACAAGACAAAAGATTTTAATACAGGAACTTAACATTTATACCATATAATTTGACGGTTGTTTATCTATATTATTTCAGTGAATTGAAAAGGATGAAAGGTTACCTGCTAGACCATTTACATTCAACTATAAAATGATTAATAGAATCCATTCAGAGAGTAGGGAAATATAATAATAGCAGGAAGGAAAAGTCTTTTGAAAAATGCAAATTTAAGATATGTACAATATTGACGGATTAGCATGCTGTTTTTAGAATTAGGGACACTAGCTCTGAAAAAGCTTTGAGTTATTCCAGGTTGATATTTGTGATGTTAAGATTTAGCTTGTCAACATTGACCATTCATACATATTTGACCCAGATAAAAAGAGATGGGAAGTGCAATTCTGAATTATCAGTGCTTATATGAGACTGTTATTAGGAAACATTATCTTAAGCAAGTTAAATAAACGAAAGAAAACTTTGTTTTCCATCTGAGAGTTGAATGTTCATTGAGAAGCATGCTACGGATGAGAAATGTTTTTGACATATCTATTGCCAGATATCTTACAATATGAATAGTCCTAAAATGAATAATTGATAAGGTAATTAAATTGAATAAGGTATCTAGGGCCTAAGATATTAAAGCCAAACAATGGTCAAAAGGCCAGAGTAAAATAAATAATGATTATTCTTTCATTACAATTATCTACAGTGAATTTCAATAAAAATAAAATGCTTCGCTGGGGCGCAGCTTGATACGACCGCAGAGGTCGAACCCTGAACAGTTGGGGCAAGTATGGACACAAAATTCAAGCTTGATACAGCTATGACTTTGGATTGTCATTAAATATTTGACACAGCATAGGTTTCTGACACAGGATGAATGTGGTGTAAGAACTGGAAAAAATTTAATTTACCTATTATGGTGGAATATCCATAAACTAAATTGTTTGTTAATTTCAATATATCAAAGAATATGTAGAATTCAATGTTTGATGTAATGTAATAAAGTTGAAATTTGGACCGTTTTTGTTCAATGTGGACCAATTTGGTAACATGTATAAATAATCAAAAATCTAAATACATGGGAGCCCATTTAACTACATCATAAAGGTATTAAAATAGAAAGTGACATCATAGTCATGGCTAAAAATAAACAAAAATCCTTAATCAGCAACATTTAAAGTAATATCTAAAAATAAAATTCCTTTGTAACCATAAAAGCCCATTTAAATACATCATAAAGATATTAAAATAGATAATGACATCATAGTCATGGCTAAACATAGCAAAAAACCCTTAATCAGCATCATTTAACAGGAATATCTAACTAGAGGCTCTAAAGAGCCTGTGTCGCTCACCTTGGTCTATGTGCATATTAAACAAAGGAACTAGATGGATTCATGACAAAATTGTGTTTTGGTGATGGTGATGGTGATGTGTTTGTAGATCTTACTTTACTGAACATTCTTGCTCCTTACTATTATCTCTATCTATAATGAACTTGGCCGGTAGTTACAGTGGAAAATATTTTGTAAAAATTTACAAAAATTTACAAAATTTATGAAAATTGTAAAAAAAATTGACTATAAAGGGCAATAACTCCTTAAGGGGTCAATTGAAAATTTTTGTCATGTTGACTTATTTGTAGATCTAACTTTGCTGTACATTATTGCTGTTTACAGTTTATCTCTATCTATAATAATATTCAAGATAATAACCAAAAGCTGCAAAATTTTCTTAAAATTACCAATTCAGGGGCAGCAACCCAACAACGTGTTGCCTGATTGGTCTGAAAATTTCAGGGCAGATAGATCTTGACCTAATGAACAATTTTATCATCATCAGATTTTCTCTAAATGCTTCGGTTTTAGAGATATGAGCCAAAAACTGCATTTTACCCTATGTACTATTTTTTAGCCATGTCGGCCATCTTGGTTCGCGGGCGGGGTCATCGGACACATTTTTTAAACTAGATACCCTAATGATGATTGTGGGCAAGTTTGGTTAAATTTGTCTTAGTAGTTTCAGAGGAGAAGATTTTTGTAAAAAATGATAAAAATTTACGAAAAAATGGTTAAAAATTGACTATAAAGGGCAATAACTCCTTAAGGGGTCAACTGACCATTTTGGTCAAGTTGACTTATTTGTAGATCTTACTTTGCTGAACATTATTGCTGTTTACAGTTTATCTCTATCTATAATAATATTCAAGATAATAACCAAAAACAGCAAAATTTCCTTAAAATTACCAATTCAGGGGCAGCAACCCAACAATGGGTTGTCCGATTCATCTGAAAATTTCAGGGCAGATAGATCTTAACCTGATGAACATTTTTACCCTGTCAGATTTGCTCTAAATGCTTTAGTTTTAGAGATATAAGCCAAAAACTGCATTTTTACCCCTATGTTCTATTTTTAGCCATGTCAGCCATGTTGGTTGGCAGGCGGGGTCATCGGACACATTTTTTAAACTAGATACTTGAATGATGATTGTGTTTAAGTTTGGGTGCATTTGGCCCAGTAGTTTCAGAGGAGAAGATTTTTGTAAAAGTTTACGGACGACGGACGACGGACGCCAAGTGATGAGAAAAGCTCACTTGACCTTTCAGGTCAGGTGAGCTAAAAATGGAAATTACATCATAAAGGTATTAAAATAGAAAATGACATCATAGTCATGGCTAAAAATAAACAAAATCCTTAATCAGCATCAGCAACATTTTATAGTAATATCTAAAAATAAAATTCCTTTGTAACCATAAAAGCCCATTTAAATACATCATAACAGATATTAAAATAGAAAATGACATCATAGTCATGGCTAAACATAGCAAAAACCTTAATCAGCATCATTTAACAGTAATATCTAAAAATAAAAATTTCTTTGCAACCATAAAAGTAAAATAGAAAATGACATCATAATCATGCTAAAAATAAACAAAAATTTTTTTTATTGGCAAATTTTAAATGGAGTTTATTATACTAAAACAATAAATTTGCAACCATAAACATGATAAAACCCCATTTAAACACATCATAAAAGTATTAAATAATTCAACTACATCATAAGGCTATAAAAATAGAAAATGACTTCATAGACAAGGCTAAAGGTAAACAAAAAACCTTCATCAGCAAAATTTTATATTGGCAAATTTCCAATGAAGTTTATTACACTAAAATTGTTGGCAAATTTCCAATGCATTTATTAACAATAAAGTTATTGGCAAATTTCCAATTTACATAATTTAAAAGCAGTGTAGATGAGATATTTAAATGAGTTTGAATTACCAACCTTACACTGCTTTTAAATAATGTTCTTTACTCAATTATTTGTCTATTAAAATGGAAACCCTTGTTTTTTAACCTTTTTTCCCCTTATTCCTTAAACATTAGAGCCATAACCCCCCCCCCCCCCCCAAAGCCAATTATTACTTTCCAATGTAACCTAAATTTCCAATATACATAATTTTAAATTTCAATTCCTCATGATATATAACCGTATCATTATTATTTTCTTTCTTATATAAATCTGAAACAACCATCTTTAAATGGAAAATTTTAAAGAAAAAAAAAGGAAAAAAAAAAATCCTACCTCCCACACATTTTTTCAACCCCCTTTTGATTCATCATCCCCCACCTCAATCACAACCTTCAATTTGTGGTATGGTACATTGCAATACAATTTCACAGAGATCCATACACTTGAACACAAGTTTTTGTTGCAAACTAAAAAAATCCTTATTTTTGACCAATATTTGGCCCCTTATTCATAAATGTTTGAGCAATTAACCCCAAAACTCAATTCCTACTTTCTCTTCGTGATAAAAAATAACTAACTTAAAATGTAAATTTTAAACAAAAAAAAAAGGAAAAAAAAAAATTACCCCTTTTTTGACCCCGCCCCCCTTATAATTCATCACCCCCACCCCCCTTTCCCCCCAAACCAAGCTCAATAACAGCCTTGCCTTTGTGGTATGGTACCTTGTAATACAATTTTAGAGAGATCCATACACTTGAACACAAGTTATTGTCTAGAAACTAAAAAATGCTTATTTTAAACCCCTTTTTAGGCCCCTTATTACTAAACGTTTTGGGCAATTACCACAACACTCAATTCCAGCTTTCCCTTTGTGAAATGGAACCTTGTAGTAAAATTTCAGAAAGATCCATACACTTACACACAAGTTATTGTCATGAAACTAGAAAAATGCTTGTTTTTTGCCCCCTTTTGGCCCCTTATTCCTAAAATTTTGAGGCAATTAACCCCAAAATCAATCCCAGCATTGACCCTTTGTGATATGGAATCTTGTGGTACAATGTCAAAGAGATCCATATGCTAACACACAAGTTATGTCTGGAAGTTACAAAAATGCTTATTTTCGGCCCCTTTTTGGCCCCTAATTCCTTAACTGTTGGTACCATAACCCCCAAAATCAATCCCCACCTTCCTATTGTGGTATTGAACCTTATGGTAAAATTTCATAGAGATCCATTCACTTAAACTAAAGTTAGAGTGCGAAAACCATTGTGTATTCGGACGACGACGCCGGACAACGACGACGACGACGACGACGACGACGACGCCAACGTCATACCAATATACGACCTCAAAATTTTTTTGCGGTCGTATAAAAATGTTCTTGTAGTACACTTTTAATCTGGCATCACTAAGCCATAGGCATCTCCGAGGTAATGTTGACTTTACATTATTGAACTTTACACTTATAGTGTTTCATTTAAATTGTAAGCATGTCAATACTGTAAAATGGAAGAACTTCCTCCGGGACGAATGGTACATGTATAGTATAACACTAAATTATCCAAACATAAACGTTTCATGCTGAGTACATTACCAAAAACATGAACTACAAATGTTTCTGTAAGAGTCTACGAGTATCAAATATCTACGGGTCTTTTATGAAAATAAAGAAAACAGGACATACACCTCTCGTAGTAGTATTTTGTGTTTCATATTTAGATTGTCCAAAAGTTTACCTGAAAAGTCTGAATATATAAAAATAAAAGTTGAAATCCGCCTCTCATTTTAGGTTTACACATGTCCAGAGTTTCGTTATTAAATTTCATTAATTATTCTCTTAATTTAAATGAAATGCAAGATTGACTGATTGATTTATTGATTTGCTTTTGAGTCGGTGACTTATAACTGTGTGCATATAGTGACTACATGGACAATGGTCACTGACTAGTTCTTGGACTATATTCATTACCTGAACTGATCTCCCTTTTAATGGAATTTTATGTCTTGCACCAGAGTAACCTCCTCTCCTGTTTATATAAATTCCACAAATAACAGCTATTATCACGATGGCAACTGATACTCCTATAAGTATCTCTGTAGTACCATCTACAAAAACAATAATACAATAAATATCATACATGTATAAATCTGTTTTCAATTTTTAATGCCTTTTCCATCACACTCAGCTGTTAATCTGTTTACTTTCAGTATGAAAAAAATTTGAGTAAAACATTTCGCTCAATAATTTTCAAATTCATTGATAATCCTGATAATACAAAATGGTTTACTTGTAGGTAGGAGAGTCTTTACTTATATCAGACATACCTGATTCTGTTGGAAGGCTTTTTGGATCTGGAACATTAAAATATGCAGAACATGTCTTACAGCAATGACTTAGCTCATCTTTTGTGTAGTAAGGACAGGCGGTTTTGTTGCAAAGTGAAGAAGGTATTCTGTCTCCGTATAAGCACCCTAAGTAAGAACAAGCATATAAAATACGTTAGATAATGTAAATTTAACGAAAGTGTTGAAACAGATCTTATAAAAAACCTCAATTTCTAACTTCTGCTACTGAAGTAATAAAAACACATCAGAGTAAACAGGGGTTATAATTTGACCAGTACAATTTGGACCAGGGTTTTAATTTGGTCAGTGCAATTTGGTCTGATTTCCTGCCATGACAGTCATTGTTGCTATTCAAGAATTCATGACGGTCAATGAAATTTGATGTAATACTGACCATTGTAGTCTTTCTGTGATTAAGTAAATGCAATTGGGGTCCTTAGACTCACCATATTAGTCTTTCTACTTATTCATGGACGCCACATCAATTTGGTCCTAAATCTTACAAGTAATGCTATTCTTGTTTATATCTCTTTCTTATAATAACTTGCAGCAAACAAATAAACATAATTCTAATTGTAAACTGGGAGACTAATGCAGCGATGTCCTAGGTTTAAATCTATACATGTAAGTATTCTAATTGTAAACTGGGAGACCAATGCAGCAATATCCTACGTGTCAATATTAACACGTTAGTATTCTTATTGTAAACTGGGAGACCAATACAGCGATGTCCTAAAAGTAAATCTTAACATGTTAGTATTCTGATTACTCAAATCAGCCAAAACGACTAGTTCTAATAATGGGGCCCAGGACATTCTTGCTATTCAATATGCAAATAAGAAGATGTGGTATAATTGTCAACGAGACAATTCTCCACCAGAGATCAATTGACATAGAAGTTAACAACTATAGGTAACCGTATGGCCTTCAAAAAGGAGCAGCCTTCAACAGGGAGCAAAATCCATACCGCAAAGTCAGCTATAAAAGTCCATGAAATGACAAACTTAAAACAAACAAAAAACGACAAAACTAACAGCCTGATTCATCTAAAATATTATGAACGAAATACGAATATGATATACAGCAACAAACGACAACCACTGAATTACAGGATCCTGGCTTGGCACAGGCACATACATAATGTGGCGCGGTTAGTGTGTTAATGAAATTGGGTCTGAAAACTGGTCACATTCCTTATTAATACTCCTGACTGATACCACTATTTATGAATGATTTTTTCTGGAGTTAAAAGTTTGAGATTATGGTGCCATAATAATTTGCAATATTTGATCATTGGATTAAATTGTGTTTCAAGCATGGACATGTTAACTATTGGTTTTGAATATTGAGCACTTAGGCATAAACGGGGATTACATAAACATGGCATATTGTTTGCGTATAATGTTTGTTTATTTTACAACATGATCATCATGATCATCTTGTGCAGTACAATTTGTACTATTATTGTCATTCCATATGAGTTTTCATAATTGCCATAAACTATCATATTCAAACCAAAAAAGAAAGGTTGCATATCTAAAAACAAATTTTTTTCATGATTAAAATATATGTTAATAAACTGATTTTTTATGATATATTGATACTTATTTACTAAATATACAGCAACATTCTAGGAGGCAAGAATTTTAACTGCCATATCAATATAAATAATATTCGTTGATGTTTTCATATACAATAAGCATAAACAGCGTTTACTTTTTCTGCAAAAAGTACTGAAGTTCAGGTGAACAACAAAATGCTGAAGATATCTAGAGTAAGTATTTTCAGAAAAAGATACAATGCAGGAAATTTAAGACACAAGTTTTAGAAACAAAATACATTTTTATTTGAAGAAAAAAATAACAATCCGGACACTAAATTTTTCTGAGTGACAAACAAATTATGTTTAAAAGTCAATTAACAATTCCTTTTTCACCTATAAGCACGAACAAGATTATAAACATTATTCATTAATGATACGTTAAATTACCGTTTTAATTCCATGTGTCCAAATGTAAGGTTTCAATAGTATTTTCTTGTCTTATATTACACATGTTGTATGTTTGTTTTGAGTTGTCTTTGCCTGATACTTTTGGTTTTAGGTTTTCTGTTGTGTGTATTTAGGTTGAAAAGAAGAAAAAAACACCGAAAGAAATGCACAGTTATAGAATAAGAGTTTGTTTAAAATCAAAAAATATATTTGTAGATTTCACAATTGTCAACAAGCATGTCATAAAAACTGATTTTATTAAATTCATTGTTGAAAGTCAACCACGGGATAATGCAATTCACAGTTGAAATTCATATGAAAATAAAGAGATGTGGTATAATTACCAATGAGTCAACTAGCCAATGGTGACAAAACAACGAGGATGTGAACAAATACAGGTCACCGAATGGCCTTCGACAATGGAAAACTCATACCGTGGAGTGAGCTATAAAAACTTTGAAAGGACAAAATATTTAACAATTCAAATAGATAACTACCGGCCTGATTTATGCTACAAATAAACGAAACACATTTAATTGCATTTTATTAATGATCGATTGGTACAAGTAGCTAGCTTGATAACAACTTGTCGCAAATATATAATACATATTCAGCAAGATTATAATATTGTCCTTACTTAGGAATATTTTAGATAAGCCGCCAAAAGATAAAAATGTCTACTAAGACACTTAACTCTGTCCTCGAGATGACCATTCCTTGCTCTATTTGTATAATGAAATTAATATCTAGTGTTGTGAAGTAAACACGTAAGTACATATATATTTCAATATATTTGGCTTGAACCGGTCGAGAACCTTTACCAGAAACAGTCACATTATAGGCGACCATGCTCCGGTGGGATAAAGGTGTTTAAAGGGCATGACCATATTTCCCTACTTTCAAGAGACGATTATTTGAAACAGATTGGTGAGAAGACTAATTTTCATAAGCAGGGCTATAATTTGATACATCTGCAGCAAAACGTGATTTCGAGGTATCTTATGAAAAGCAAAGTAAGATAATTCAGTAAAAGTTTAAACCCTTGTTATATTCTGTTGTTGTCAAGATTAAACCCTTTAAAGGTGTCGTTGGCGGCAAGTAATTTTGTTTGACAGTGGTTCGTCGATACCTAGGACGCTTTCTTGTAATTGTTTCTGAAAAGTATATATTCAATTTAAATCGAAAAGTTTTCTAAAAATAATTGAAAGGATCTAGTTATTCTTAGTCATATAGCTCTTATTTTTTTCTGTTTTATCCCTACATCCTTCGAGAAAAATAAAATAATAGATGTTAATAATGTCAATATTAAAAAGATAATTTGCTCAATAGAAAATTGATGGTGCCTTTGAAAAGTCATGATAAATCAATCTTTTAGATAGTTTACCTGTAACTCCGGATGACACTTTAGCACACGATGCACAACATGATATTCCAATTCTGTCTCTGTAGCATTCTGTTTTGTCCTTCGCCACAATTTGTGGACATGTGTTACCAAGATGATCCATAGAACCCACAAAATCACCATGAGCACACCTTGCTGTAATTATAAAAATAATAATTTCAAGAATCTGCCCAGCATGAAATTGGATCTGATTTAATGGACTAAAACGCATTTTTCATTTCATTGCGTTCAACATAAGTCATTACGTTTAGGTCTGCTGATGATTGTGGTGGAAAGAAATCAAGAAGAGGGCTCCAAACATAATATAGCAAATCTTTTTTTCTTTCCCTTTGTAGGTGACATTAAAACAATGTAACTTTACATACGAAAACATGTGGCTGTGTTCAGCTCAAGTTTAAAGTCGCACTTCCGTTCCATAAATATATATAATCTAACAGATTGTTTTTCATACCATTAATAAGTTACGATTTTGTGATCGATTTTGTGATTTGTATTGATAAATGCGCGCATTAATTTTTTATTTTGATTAGATATTTTTAATAGAAAAACATATGATACCGAGATCACATGCAAGTAAATATTTTTGGGGGAAAGAGTGAACAAGCACCAAACATTCCATGCTTTATTTTCCTGTCAAAAAGAATATGTTGATAATTTATATTGTGACAATAGAAATGTGAATGACTGTAAAGCAATTTATGTTTCTGAAGATTACAATTATTAAAAGTTCGCCTCAATTTCAAATATCTTACACATTTATTTCTGATATTTCACTTTTATCCTTTCTTATTTGCAGATTTCTCTCTCATAATTTTAATCAGGTTATTCACATCCAACACAATGTGATTTTTGGGCGTTCACAAATATAAATTTGCTTGGAGTTACACCAGTCTGACTAGCACAACAACTACAAACAAATGGAGCTCCTTTGCCTGTCCTAGGCATATGTCGAAAAACTTAACATTGTAAAACATAAAACCCTGAACAATACAGCTACCAACAAAATGACCAGTCTAAGAAAAAAAAAATAAAAGGCGGCACATCATTTTGAAAGCAGGATCAATATTTTCTATCGCAAGTCAATTTTCCAACTAAGACGTGACAATGTAATCATACATAAGATGCAGCAATGGCTACGCATTCAGCTAAATAAATAATATTAAGTACAATTGTTGCAAGGGCTTTTTAGCCTTGCATATTCTCATGATAACTTTGTTCACAAATGTATCGATCATTTATAATCAAATTAGAAATGAATGCATAAAGTATCTAAAATTCCCGCATAGCCAAACAATCGTTAATTAGCAACACAAAACAGAAGGTTACACTTTTTGTAATAAAGACAAATTTCAATAAAAAAAATTATAACAGTGTTAGTAGCTGGATATATATATATATATATATATAAAGTGTTACTTGAATACCTTGATCATTTCGATTAAATCATGTAATTATCACAATGTGTCTACTGATTTAATATATTCGCGTTTTACTACTAAACATAAAGGAACAATGACAGTATCATTTTATACCATTATCTTTAACTATATTGTTCTTTGTAAACATACCTGGTGTTGAAGCTGCTGCACTTGAGTAAGTACATACACCATTCCTGCACCACTGTAAAGTATAAAAGCATACAGACATTAAAAAAAAATACCCAAAAATATTTGTTTCTTCTTATATAATTAGGGGGCTTTAGCAAACAAGCTCACATGCCTTTTGGATCAATTTCAGCTTTTATTCCGTGGAGACTTATTCTTTTGGATAATATTTTGCTCTTACAGCAATGTGTTCTGATGTTAGAGAAGGATCATAAGACATCCTACACGACCCTTTCTTGGGTTCTTGTGCAATTTTGATTTGATACTACTTCACAAGAGTCATTAAAACGAAACAGTTAGGCTGAACATTATTGATCCATGTTAAGTTTAAACATTATTCTTACATGTTTGCTGTCACATAGTGTCCCATCAGCTGGCACCATACTATTGCATCCTTGAGTTTTATCATCACGACACCACATCAATCCGCACATCTGTCTGTAATCACCCTTGTATTGTTCCTACAAATACATAACAATTGTCCCCTAATTATACACAATTGTAAGGTATTTCATTCACAACTTTGTCTCTTTGGAAATTTTGTCTTAGGTAATGCTTTCAATAACATTTCAGTATTAAAAGGAAATCATAAAATTATTTAGAGTAGACCTGAATTTTTCATCACAAATCAGATTTACAATGAATCATGGCACAGAAACTGATATTTCTTACCCTACATAACGATGACTTGTCCCCATTTCTACTCTGGCATTGCTCATCCGCTGTGTATAGCTCTCCTGGTAACTTCGACAAATATGGCACTATTTCATTAGGGTTGTATTGAGGTCCAAAAGACGTTAAACAGTTTTTCCTTTTCCTGTAATATAGAGTCTTAAACCAATAACGACCTATTTTTGTGAAAATTTCCTCTCTGACTTTTGATGGGCTACTTGTCCAATTTTATTTTATGTAAGATATATAACGAATTATGTAAGATATATAACGAATGGGAATATTTAGAGGAATAAGTCAATTTTAAATAAAGTTAAAAATTGATAAATTCATGGTTTATTATATGTTTTTTGCAGATGTTTCTAATTCTTGGGGATTTTCAGGTAAGAACAGAAATAAAGATGCCTTTCCTCTGGTTATTCGTCAGTGTATCATCGAAACATCTCTTAGAACTCATCATTCATATATCCTTATTACCCTGTTCGTAAAAGTTACGTTCGAAAAATTAAATGTTTTCAATCTAAAATTTACAAAATCATCGCATCTCTGCAACATATAATGTCTTTATAATTCTGGAATATGAGCTTTATCGAGCACAACACGTGTTCTACTATGTATTCATCTGTAAGGTTTCCTACTTGTACATGTACCACACAAGAATGAAACTATCCATTCGAATCACACTTATTATTTCTGTTTTTCCTTGTCAAAAAATATATCTGGTAATGTAGAAAACGTACAAACTTACTAAGTAGTGATGTACATGAACTTCGACAACTATAATCAATAAAAAAAAATGAGTTCCCCACAAATGAAATTGCATTTTTTTGTCAGAAAACAGCATCTAGAAATATAGACAACATAAGTTTACCAATGTTCAAATCTCATACATTTTTAAAAAGACAAACTAAAGTAACAAACAATGGGACACTGTTTGGCAGACGACCGCCCGCCCGCCCGCCTGCCGTACATCCCCAAATCAACAACCGATTTTTCCTTCGAAAATCCGGTTAAAAACTGAGAGAATAGTCTGATCTCAAAAAGATCGAGACCGAGTAAGAGTCTGCTGCTATCCATGCATCACCAACCTTGCGTATCCATACTCAATCGAAATGTCACAATCAGGAATGGGACCCAATTGGTAAAATAACAGATTTGAAAGAAAACAAGTGAATCTGTGAGCTACTGCACAAACTTGTGATACCCCCGCCCGCTTAAAGTATAAGGTAAACAGGAAGTTGTTGAGTAATGAATCTGAAAACACATCACACGGTTTAGCTGACTAATATAAACAATAAAAACAAATTTCAGAAATCCTTGTAATGTAGTTCCTGAGAAAGATGCGACGAAAAATATTCATGGGACGGATGGACGGACTGACGAATGGATGGATGAACAGACTGACGGACAGACAGAGGTAAAACAGTATACCCCCTCTTTTTTAAAGCGGGGGTATAATAATACTTCCTCACTTATCAATCTTTACTTGCTATGAACGACAACACCTTTTTTAGTAAAAGTTTCCTGACAACTTGATATTGTGTATTCCTCAAACAATTAAAGAACCCTAGTGAGCGCGCCCCACGTCCCCACATTGTTATTGGAGAAATAAAATAAGTGTAAGAAAAAAAAATTGTATCAGAAAAAAAGATTGAATCATAATTTCCTGTCAATATGCACATCTACATAGTATGTCCTTATTATCTGAAAAGGTTTCATGAAATTCTGTTGTGTGGTTTGAGAGGAGTTGCAATGACAAAAGGTTGCAGTAGTATATTGGGCAAATAAGTTCAAAGGGGCGTAACTCCGGGAAAAAAATGAATCGTAATTTCCTGTCGAAATGCACATCTACGTAGTATGTCCTTATTATCTGAAAAGGTTTCATGAAATTCTGTTGTGTGGTTTGAGAGGAGTTGCGATGACAAAAGGTTGCAGTAGTATATTGGGCAAATAAGTTCAAAGGGGCGTAACTCATTGGAAAAAAAATTGAATCGTAATTTCCTGTCGAAATGCACATCTACGTAGTATGTCCTTCTTATCTGAAAAGGTTTCATGAAATTCTGTTGTGTGGTTTGAGAGGAGTTGCTATGACAAAAGGTTGCAGTAGTATATTGGGCAAATAATTTCAAAGGGGCGTAACTCCTGGAAAAAAAATGAATCGTAATTTCCTGTCGATATGCACATCTACGTAGTATGTCCTTATTATCTGAAAAGGTTTCATGAAATTCTGTTGTGTGGTTTGAGAGGAGTTGCGAAGACAAAAGGTTGCAGTAGTATATTGGGCAAATAAGTTCAAAGGGGCGTAACTCCTGGAAAAAAATTGAATCGTAATTTCCTGTCAATATGCACATCTACGTAGTATGTCCTTCTTATCTGAAAAGGTTTCATGAAATTTTGTTTTGTGGTTTGAGAGGAGTTGCGATGACAAAAGGTTGCAGTAGTATATTGGGCAAATAAGTTCAAAGGGGCGTAACTCCTGGAAAAAAATTGAATCGTAATTTCTGTCGGTATGCACATCTACGTAGTATGTCCTTATTATCTGAAAAGGTTTTATAAAATTCTGTTGTGTGGTTTGAGAGGAGTTGCGATGACAAACTGTTGCAGTAGTACATTAGAGTAATTAAGTTCAAAGGGGCGTAACTCCTAGAAAAAGAATTGAATCGCAATTTCCTGTCAATATGCACAACTACATAGTATGTCCTTATTATCTAAAAAGGTTTCGTGAAATTCTGTTGTGTGGTTTGAGAGGAGTTGCGATGACAAGAAACAGGACTGACTGACTGACGGACTGACGGACGGGTAAAAAACATTATACCCTCCGCAACTCCTTGCATGGGGTATAATAAGTCACTGCTACACCGCATAATGAACTTCAGTCAGGAACCTGATGTTCAGTGGTTGTCGTTTGTTGATGTGGTTCATAAGTGTTTCTCGTTTCTCGTTTTTTATATAGATTAGACCGTTGGTTTTCCTGTTTGAATGGTTTTACACTGGTCATTTTGGGCCCTTTATAGCTTGCTGTTCGGTGTGAGCCAAGGCTCCGCGTTGAAGACCGTACTTTGACCTATATTGGTTTACTTTTATAAATGCTTACTTGGATGGAGAGTTGTAAAGTTCATTTCATCCACCTCCTGTCGCCTCTGGTGGATAGTTGTGATATTTGGGAATCATTGCAATGTCACTATTTACTTATTCTTCACCACACAATAGTGCACTTTCCGAGTTAAAATGACTACTAGAGTGAGATGGGTTGAAGTTTAATTGTGCAGTTTTGACAATTCTCTTCTGTACCCCCAACTAGACTGGACATTTCTTTACTTGTAGTTGATTTTGAGGCGAAATCTGAAGACCAACGATAAATTGTAGTCGAGAGAGGCTGTATTATACGCGAACAATTGTGAGCTATTGTTGATCAGCTTTGATGATATGTACTGATAAAATCAGTTCACAGTTGGTCGATACAGTTTCGACTCAAATTAGTAACATTCAAATGTGGTTGAGCTCAATAAAATTAGGACATCCAAATGCAAATATTGGTTCATCCATTTTGTACCTATAAACTCATATTGAAGACCAAATTCTGAAAAAAGCTGTGTTTACCGTTACTAGCTACCTGGGTTCATTCCCAGGGGTTTTATGTGGGGTTTTATTTTTCTTCTATGTTATTTGTAATGTTCTTTTTCTTTTGACCATGGCATTCTTTCTTTCTACTATGGTTTGTGAACTTTTTCAAGTTATCCTTCTTACTTTTTTCCTATCACAAGTACTAGGTAAACAGATTTTTGTCAATCATTTGCAGCATGTGTTTCAAATATGAAACTTACGAATCAAGTCGACGAATCGTTTGATGAAAGTAGTCTACAGAACAAGATGAAAATCTCCAGGGGTTAGGATTTCCCATACTTGGTTGATTTGTGGCAGCCATTATAAAGTAAGCATCTAGTCGACAGGAATTCCCCTCTCCGTCATGACTAGCACCAAGACTACAATTATAAATACATAATTTTTTAAATAAAATGCTCCGCAGAGCTCAGCTTGATACGACCGCAGAAGTCGAACCCTGAACAAGAATTCATTTTTTGGTAAAATCAAAGTTTAAGTTTGGAGCCCGATTTTGACAAACTTCAATAAACTGCTTCGCTGAGCGCAGCTAGATAAGCCCGCAGAGGTCCAACCCTGAACAGTTGGGGCAAAAATGGACACAATATTCAAGCTTGATTCAGGTCTGAATTTGGATTGTAATTAAATATTTGACATATTATAGGTTTCTGAATAAATGTAGTCAAAGAACTTGAAATTGGTTATATGAATTGAATTTATATTCAATTAAAGATTTCTTGCTGTTGTGCAATACTTAATAAATCTGTTGTCAGACTATAAACAAATAAAGTTCAATTAATTCTCAATGTCATATTAGAAATTTATGAAAATAAAAAGGGAGCTTACATCAATGGATATAAACAATGCACCAAAGTTTCATGAGAATTGGTGACAGCATTTTTGAGTTATTGTCCGAAAACTGGAAAATCATCCCTTTTTTTAATGAATAAAACCCCATAACTCAGAAATGTAAAATGTAAAATTTATAAAATTCTAAAGGGAGCTTACATCAATACATACAAACAATTCACCAAAGTTTCATAAGAATTGCTGAAAGCATTTGTGAGTTTTTGTCCCAAAACTGGAAAATCCCCCCTTTTTTATGAATAAAACCCTGTAACTCGGAAACGTAAAATCTAAAATTTATAAAAATCCAAAGGGAGCTCATGTCAATATATATAAACAATTCACTACAATTTCTTGCAAGAAAGGTGGAAGCATTCTTGACTTATTGTCCGAAAACTGAAAAATCCCCCTTTTTTGACTGAATAAAACCCCATAACTCGGAAACGTAAAATCTAAATTTGATAAAAAACGAAAGGGAGCTCACATCAATAGATATAAACAATTATCCGAAGTTTTATGCAAATTGGTTAAAGCATTTTTGAGTTAATGTCCGACATGTTGACGACGGACGGACGGACGGACGGACAGACGGACAATGGTATACCATAATACGTCCCGTAAACGGGCGTATAAAAAGGGCCCGAAATAAAAAAATCTAAATACATACAGATTCAATTTATCAAACATGTTAAAGAACCCAAAGACTTCATTTTTTGTTGAAATCAAATAAAATTTAATTTTGGACCCTTTCTACCTTTAAGTGGACCAATCTGACAACAGATCCCAAAATTAAAAATCTTAAAACACGGTTGGATTCAGCACAGCAAAAAAAACCCAAGATTTTGAATTTTTGTTGAAATAAAACAAAAGTTTAAGTTTAGACCCTTTGAAGCTCAGTGTGAATCAATTTGAAAATGAGGCCCAAAATCCAAAATCTAAATACAAGAATTCAAATCCCATTGAAATTGGTGAAGAAATAAACAATTTATACAAAGTATTAGCAAAGTATTGTTTTTGGTCCCTATTGTGGCCTCTAACTCCTAAACAGTTAGGGCAATTTCCCCCAAAATCAATCTCAAACTTTTGTTGTAGGTATTGTACCTTGTGGTTCAATTTCATAGAGATCCATTGACTTATACTCAAGTTATTGTCCTGAAACAAGGAAAATGCTTTTTTTTTGCCTCTTTTTTGATCGTAATCTAAACAATTAGGACCATAACCCCCAAAATCAATCCCAATCTTTCTATTCTGGTATGGAACCTTGAGTTAGAGGTTCATAGGGATCCATACATTTATATTCAAGCTATTTTCTGGAAACCAAATTGGGACGACGACATCGCCATACCATTATACAGCAGCAAAAATTTTGAGGTCGTCTTAAAATCATTACTATTTGTAAGATCATGGAAATTGGCAAACCTTGAATATGCAAAGTGTTGAATATATCAAATCATCTTAAAGAATTCAAGAAGCTTAAGAATGATCTTTATTTATGTACATATAACGTAAAGCATACTATCAAAAATTTATCTTATCAGCATACCCAAAACATATTTGACCTCACATTATAGATCAATCTTATAACTCATTCATCTTATATATTTTCTCCCAAAAAATAGCATCTATCTCCATCTTTACATATAATACCTACAACCAAGTTCCTAGACAGAAATTTACCTATGGCCAAGTTCATGAGCAGCTACTGTAATCATACTATAGTCGTCACTCTCCTCCATTATAGACTGACTAGATTGTGAACATATGGCCCCGACGTAGGCATAACCTTAAATATGGGCCAATATAAAAAAATAATGGGTTAGCATCATCATGACACAGTGTAAGGCTCCTACAAAAGTAAAACGGTACCAGGTTGTCTCCTGCTAAAGTAAAACGGTACTAGGTTGTATCCTGCAAAAGTAAAACGGTACCAGGTTGTCGCCTGCAAAAGTAAAACGGTACCAGGACTGGTTGTCTCCTGCAAAAGTAAAACGGTACCAAGTTGTCTCCTGCAAAAGTAAAACGGTACAAGGTTGTCAATAAAATAGTATAAAATCAAAAATAATATACATAACCATATCACATGAAGAACAGCAATAAAAGCGCTGCTCCTTTGCTTTTTGTGTGTTTTTTTTTTTGCTGTGCATGTACTGATTTTATGTCATGGATGGATACCCCATATCCTTTGTTTTTCTATTATAACCATATCACAAATACTAAAGTTTAAACAACAAAATGTAGCAGCTCAACCAATGTTGGAATACGGTACTTACAGAAAAGACCAAAAAAGTAGGAAGTTATTTTTCGCTTATTTCTCGATCAAGATAAAAACGAGCAAATATTTCTATCAATGCGTTAAGTTGATCTTTAAGAATGATCTGTAACAGGGAAAAGGAAAGCATGAACATTAAACCTGACGAACAGGTATGAAACTAACAATTTTGAAAAACCCCATCAAAATAAACCACCTTTTTGTAATAAAATTTTTAATTGATATTGGTTAGCTCAATCATAATGAGATTTTATCTGACTGTGTAATTTTTGAATTCTTTAATTACTAACTAAGACAATTCTTACCTTGCAGAGATGAGGACTGAAGACTAGACAGACTATATCTGTTACGAAAAAAGAAGACAAAAGTTGTTAATTATACTCAACAGAACTTGTCTATCAAAAGCCATGTATTACAAATGCCTCAATCATTCAAACCATTCGTTAAGAGGGTCGAAACTCAACAGAACTTGTCTATCAATAAGTATTACAAATGCCCCCATCATGCAAACCATTCGTTAAGAGGGTCGTAACTCAACAGAACTTGTCTATCAATAAGTATTACAAATACCCCCATCATGCAAACCATTCGTTAAGAGGGTCGAAACTCAACAGAGCTTATCTATTATAAGCCATGAATTACAAATGCCCCCTATCATGCAAACCATTCATAAAGAGGGTCGAAACTCAACAGAGCTTGTCTATCATAAGGCATATATTACAAATGCCCTCATCATGCAAACCATTCATTAAGAGTGTTAAAATTCAAAATAACTTGTCTTCAATATTAAATGTATTACAGATGAGGCTTTATATGTATGAATGAGGCAATCTAACACCAAAATCGGATTTTTCTAGAGGTTATTGATTTGTAAATTGGGGCGATTACAAAATGACTTATTTAGACTTTTATGTAAAGCGGCTCAATAACCTCTAAAAATGTGTTTAATCCTTATAATTCTGAATTTGAAGCGTACAAATATCAGAATACCATCCAGCTTCAGTGTTTTCATTGGAATTACATACTGTTTTGCCATGATGTGCGATAGGATCACTCATGAAATTTTCGCGCGATTTTATTTAATTTTACTTTTATACATTTTTCAAAGTTCTTTTAATTGTGCATTATAATAGGATTCAGAAATAACAGTTCTGTATTTTTTTAATTTTAATTTTCTTTGAATCCCACAATCCCATGCATGAATAGATCACAGTGAAATCGACATAGGTTATAGAAGTAGTTTAGGCAACATGGTACATCGAAGTGTGCACCAAGCGGGTAACATACCGTAGATATGCAAATCCTATAGAGACTTGCAGTAACTTGTATAGGTAAGCATATGGTCTTAATCAATATAAAGTGTTTAGACAATATGCAATTCTCTTTATCTTCATTTCTGACTGATGAGTTGTATTACAGATACATTATATAACAAATGAGTTGTATTTACCTGTTTAATAACATCACGTAGTCATTTAATGGTAGATTTATTATATAACAGATAAGTTGTATTTACCTGGTTAATAACATCACGTGGTCATTGGATGGTAGATACATTATATGACAGATGAGTTGTATTTACCTGGTTAATAACATCACGTGGTCATTGAATGGTAGATACATAATATAACAGATGAGTTGTATTTACCTGGTTAATAACATCATGTGATCATTGGATGGTAGATACATTATATAACAGATGAGTTGTATTTACCTGGTTAATAACATCACGTGGTCATTGGATGGTAGATACATTATATGATAAATATGTTGTATTTATTGGTTCACGTGGTCATTGATTGGTAGATACATTATATAACAGATTAGTTGTATTTACCTGGTTCACGTGGTCATTGGATGCTAGATACATTATATGACAGATGAGTTGTATTTACCTGGTTAATAACATCACGTGGTTATTGGATGGTAGATACATTATATGACAGATGAGTTGTATTCACCTGGTTAATAACATCACGTGGTCATTGGACGGTAGATTCATTATATGACAGATGAGTTGTATTTACCTGGTTAATACCATCACGTGGTCATTGGATGGTAGATACATTATATTAAATTGAGAATGGAAATGGGGAATATGTCAAAGAGACAACAACCCGACCAAAGAGCAGACAACAGCCGAAGGCCACCAATGGGTCTTCAATGCAGCGAGAAAATCCCGCACCCGGAGGTGGTCCTCAGCTGGCCTCTAACTCAAATTGTGTGCTAGTTCAGTGAAATGGACGTCACACTAAACCCCAAAACATATCAATGAACTTAAACCAAAAAACATACTAGACTAACAAAGGCCAGAGGCTCTTGACTTGGGACAGGCGCAAAAATACGGCGGGGTTAAACATGTTTTGTGAGATCTCAACCCTCCCCCTATACATCTAGCTATTGTAGAATAAAGAAACAAATAGCAATACGCACAGTAAAACTCAGTATAAAAGAAGTCCGAATCGGATGTCAAAATAGGTAACAAAAGAAACTAAGCAAAATGACAATGATACATAAATGAACAAAGGACTACTAGCAGTTACTGACATGCCAGCTCCAGACCTCAATTAAACTGATTGAAAGATTATGTCCTCATCATATGAAAATCAAGTACAATCCCTCCCGTTAGGGGTTTAGTATCATACCATCATAAAATATATGAGAAGAACATAACCCGTATCATGCCAACAACTGGTTTTAGAATAAATGTGTTTATTTCCGATGCAAAGACCCTATGAGTGAATCAATATTAATACCAAAATATGCAATCCTTAATGACTTGACAACAGTATCGTAACTATATCCTTTCCGAATAAGTCTGTTTAAAGGTTTGGTTAGCTTTTGAGGTGAATGCCGACATTTGTGTGCTTTGTAAAGAAAATTACCATAAAATATTGGATGTGAAATACCTGAACGTATTAGATGTCTGCATGTTGATTTATATTTACGAATGATGTCCTTGTACCGATGATAAAATTTAGTAAATGTTTTGACTAGTTTGTGATATCGAAACCCCTGGTGTAATAATTTTTCAGTAATACAGAGATTTCTTTCGTTGAAATCAAATACGTTGTTACATACACGAGCGAATCGAACAAGTTGAGATATATAAACACCATAAGATGGCGACAAGGGAACGTCACCATCTAAAAATGGATAATTAACAATAGGAAATGAAAAATCATCTCTTTTATCATAAATTTTGGAATTAAGCTTCCCGTTAAAGATAAAGATATCAAGATCCAGGAAAGGGCAGTGTTCATTGTTAGTATTAGCTTTATTTAATGTCAGTTCGGCAGGATAAATCTCTTTAGTCTACATACTGCAGTCGTCATTATTGAGAGCAAATATATCATCTAAATATCTACAAGTGCTATAACATTTTTGAATCAGATGTTGTTTCGATGGGTCTTTGATGATTTTAGTCATAAATTGTATCTCATAACAACAAAGGAACAGGTCCGCAATAAGTGGTGCACAGTTAGTCAGTTATAAAAGATGAGTTGTATTTACCTAGTTAATTAAATCACCTGGTCATTGGATGATATATACATTTTATAACAGATGAGTTGTACTTACCTGGTTTATAACATCATGTGGTCAATGGATGTTAGATACATTATATAATAGATGAGTTGTATTTACCTGGTTAAAACATCACGTGGTCATTGGATGGTAGATACATTATATGATAAATGAGTTGTATTTACCTGGTTCACGTGGTCATTGGTTTGTAGATACATTATATAACAGATGAGTTGTATTAACCTGGTTCACGTTGTCATTGGATGGTAGATACACTATATAACATATGAGTTGTATTTACCTGGTCCACGTTGTCATTGGATGGTAGATACATTGTATAACAGATGAGTTGTATTTACCTGGTTTACGTTGTCATTTGATGGTAGATACAGTATATGACAGATGAGTTGTATTTACCTGGTTAATAACATCACGTGGTCAATGGATGGTAGATACATTATATGACAAATGAGTTGTATTTACCTGGTTAATAACATCACGTGGTCATTGAATGGTAGATAAATTAGATGACTAATGACTTGTTTTTACCTGGTTAATAACATCACATGGTCATTTGATGGTAGATCGGTTTGCTTCTGTACCCATTTTTGGAACTTTTCCAATGCCTTGTGTGCATTCACTAAATTTGGGGTCTCGTGTGTCTGTTTTAATGATTCCGTCCATTCTGATTCCGATGGCGTCTGGAATGTAAATAAAACAATACGTTAATATTATTTGGTGGAGTGGTTGTGTAAAAAAATAATGAAAATGGTTTCTAAATTGTCGTCAAAGTCCTAAAAGGTATGATAAAATATTGTCATAAAAAGTACGGGTTTTGCTCATTGTTGAAAGCCTTACGGTAACCTATAGTTGTTAACTTCTATGTCATTTGGTCTCTGGTTGAGTGTTGTCTCATTAGCAATTATATCACATCTTCTTATTTTCAATTTTGGAAAAAAAATCACATATATAGCTACAGTAACGTACATTGCCAAATTGAATTCATCTACCACTTTCTTTTATTTATTTTTGATCTCGTCTACGAAATATACGCACATTTTATTGTAAGTTTAGATCAATATATTTGATAAATTAATGTAGCCCTTTTCAATGCAGTATAAAGGACTTCAAACGAATAATTTTTACCATGTTGCCTTTTCTTCTTTGTCAAATTTGAACGACGGCGTGCTTTCGTGGATATGCATTCACTAGGAACGCCCAAACCCTCAAATGAGTAAGCTGAGACATATAAATACGTGAATACGCTAGAAGCTAGAAGCTAAATGACCAAATGTATCTGAGGTCAACCTTACCGGAGGGAGTTGGAACTTTGGTGACTTCATATTTCATTTAATTTAATAACGAATAATTTAAGATAACTCTGTTATAAATCATGTCAGTACCGAAGCACTGCCTTGATACTGAGCCGAATACCAACAATACTAATTCTCCCACTACAACATTGAGAAAGCGTAGACATTCTCATGACAGAACCTTCAATTTGTATTCTTAAACGTGGTGTAGATATTTATTTCATGTCGTCAATAATATTATTCTAAGCAAAGTTATGACAAATGGTCAATGTTACCATTGTTGAATTTGTTTACCACAGTGACGATGTAACAGGATTTTCTGGATTTTCCGTAATCCTCTCGATTTAACGAGTGTATTTGTATATAAATACAAGTCTAAATTGAATATATATATATATATACATACAAATTAGTCTAAAAATTACTGTAAATATCAGTACAACAATGTTAAATCTGCAAATTTGAGGAAACAAATTGTTGTTCTTCCCTCGACGGGATTCGAACACATGCTATTGGTATATCGAGACAACACCATCTGCACTGTGTCAAGCGCTCTAGACCACTTGGCCACCTAGACTGAACTAAAATTCAGCTTTCAGTGGACTAGTGTTACCTTTCCTCGTCAGTAGAATCTAGAGTTGTAACACAGTACATGATATATTAGGCATGAAGATGGATTTGATTGACCCCCAAGGGTGACTGAGGAATAGAAGTATGGTCACCATTGGTCTTCCTCCGACCGGCAGTTAAACCCTTGCCAAAGTGGGGCGTCCGTTGGCTGTGCGGGATGTACAAATTTGCAGCCACGTCCGGTCAGAATGGGGACGTTAAATCCGATGCCTCGTGTAAAGAGAGTGCCACGCTCTTTGCACGTTAAGAACCCTTGCAACAACTCTTTGAGGGGTCCATAGGTGACCCGTTGCAAGGCTAAATTTCTGTCCCTATCCAATATACCCTTATTTCCCGTGGCAGTCCAAATTTCTCCGACCTTAATCCCGGACGCCTCTATTACAGAACCTACCTATTGTATTTATTGTTAATTTGTTCTCGACCTGAATATGCATGAAATATTTGCCACTGGACGTTAAGCAACCAACAATCAATCGCTCAATGGATTTGATTGCAGATTAGCTAAATTTTCTATCGTAAAGGATCGTAAGATGCAGTCACAGAAATAATTATTTGATACGTACGTCTAAACAAGTGACAACTCTACGACAGATCCATGCATTTGATCACCAGTGAATGTAATACACGGCTGAAAAACAAATATCAGCACAACAATGTTAATCTGCAAATTTGCGGAAGCAAATATTTGTTCTTCCCTCGTCGTGATTCGCAGTCATGCTATATATATATTTCATACTTTACCTTTGAAACGATCAGTCCGGCGAAAACAATGCCAATAAAGTTAGATGACATAGATTTGTATCTACCATCCATCTGTAAATCAATGAAAAACAGCTACATGTATATAGAAATAAATTTCAAAGGAGATCATATCTTAGGGTCTGGATGGGGTTTATTTATAACTGTATTCTTTATTTTTAAGGCTACTTTTTCTTTCTTTATTTTGTTGAGCACATTTTCTATTTTAGCACCTAATTATTCCTTATTCTTAATATTTTCTGTGTCAACTTTTCTCTTTTATTTTTTTGTTTTACCTCGTATTTTGTATTCTGGAAATCCCATCCAGACCCTTACATAAATTACTACAAATCCAAAACTTTGTTTGCATTCCTTAATTGGGCTCCAGCATATTAAAATTTGGTATATAAATGTATATCTCAGATTACAAATTATAGTGTATAATCTATACCATGAACACATTATTTTATACTATGACAACGGTACATGTGCAACATAACAAAATGAGTGTGCATTCTTGTAGCAAAATCTAAGAGTTCATGAATTGTTTTGTCGATGAGTTTAAATGTTTGCAAAAGTCAACGAAATTTGGAAATCATAAGTACTCAGCTTCCTTATATGTACGTATATGGTAAATTCCATGTATTACTGCGGAACAACACCACTCCCCGACCAAATAATATGCATAAGGTTTGGTACCATTAAAACGTTTAAACCCGTAGCAATTGTTTGCACCTGTCCTAAGTCAGGAATCTGATGTTCAGTAGTTGTCGTTTGTTGATGTGGTTCATGAGTGTTTCTCGTTTCTCGTTTTTTATATAGATTAGACCGTTGGTTTTCCCGTTTGAATGGTTTTCCACTAGTAATTTTTGGGGCCCTTTATAGCTTGCTGTTCGGTGTGAGCCAAGGCTCCGTGTTGAAGACCGTACTTTGACCTATAATGGTTTACTTTTATAAATTTGACTTGGATGGAGAGTTGTCTCATTGGCACTCATACCACATCTTCTTATATCTATATATGACGTTATAATGGGACATAACTCAAGAACGGTAAAAGTGACGCAACCCAAATTCGAACTTGATCTGTGTTTTGTGGTAATAAGCATTGTGCATAAGTTTCATACAATGTTGTTGAGGAAAACTAAAGTTAGAGAAAAGAAACTCGTTTTGAAACGGACGAACGGACGGAAGGACGGACACGGGTAATAATTAATTACCCCTCCGCTGCGGCGGGGGCATAAACAAATTAAATGGGATTGACATAGAATACTGAGGCATTATGTAAGAAACAAATCAATGAAACATAAAATTAAATAAAAGTCGCCGTTTGAGAAGTTATTAATCATGGTATGGAACATACTTAACTATCCCCTTTTGCAAATATGTCAATTAAAGGCCATGTCTTAGTATGAAAAAACCAAACAACACTTAAGGAATGACTGTAATATTTTTTCTGTCTATGAAGAAATAACATAAAAAATATGGTGCACACTGAATAACTCGCGTAGCGGGTTATTTAAAAGTGTGCACCACATTTTTTATGTTATTTCGAATAGACAGAAAATTATTAAAGTCATTTCTTATAATTTAATTCTAAAAAGGAGTAAATCATGATAAAAACGTTGATGACGTCGCGGTCACATGACAAAATTATGTCTAGGAGCTGATAGACAAAACACTTTCAGCCAATCAGAAGACGTGTTACATCCAAAATTAAATTATATTTGAATCAAAAGATAAAATTTGAGGTACACGATGCCTTTGGGTAATTTATAATAAAGATTATGCGAAATCTAATCTCTGGTTTAAAACAAATTGCGTATACAAATATTACACGTATTATGATGAACGAACAAACAAACGGAAGAACAAATAAACAGCTGCGCCATGAGCGCATGATAAGCCCGTCGCATTTTTTACAAATAAAGTTCAATAACTTCTCAATGTCATATCAGAAATTTGTGAAACACTAAAGGGAGGTTATCTTAATTGATATAAACCAGTCACCAAAGTTCAATGAAAACAGCTCAAAGCACTTTAAAGGTATTGTCCGAAAACTGGAAAAATCTCCTCTTTTTTAATGAATAAAACCCCATAACTCAGAAACGTAAAGTCTAAATTTTATAAAAAAACGAAAGGGAGCTCACATCAATAGATATGAACAATTCATCAAAGTTTTATTCAAATTGGTTGAAGCGTTTTTGTGTTAATGTCCGATATGTTGACGACGGACGGACGGACAGACAGACGGACAGACGGACAACGGTATACCATAATACGTCCCGTAAACGGGCGTATAAAAACACTACAAGCAGTTATACAAGACAGTCAAACCTGCAGGATAAAACATAAAATAAGATATTAACATCAAAACATGTTAAATCAAATATTGAGGATATAAAGAGCCTGTGTTGCTCACCTGCATCTTCAACAAATGCCAACTTTTGAGTAAAAATCATCATTAAAGGAAATAACTCTATAAAGAATTAACTGACAATATCTATAAAGAATTAACTGACAATATCTATAAAGAATTAACTGACAATATCTATAAAGAATTAACTGACAATATCTTGTTGACATAATTGTAGATCTTCTGCTGCTGATTTTACCTTTGTAAAGTTTTTTTTATCTATAATTATACTTTTCAAAAATAATTAGCAAAAAATGCAAAAAAAAAAACATGTTAAATTTTTTTCTTAGAGGGCAATAACTCCAATAACGAGTCGACGGAACATTTCGGCCATTATGGCTTATTTGTAGATCTGTCTTGCTGATCAATCATTTGTGCTATTTAAAGTTTCTATCTATTAATTACAGATTTCAAAAGATAATAGGCAAAAATAGGGTGAAATGTAAAAAAATCGTCGTTAAAGGACAATAACTTCAATAAGTCGATTTCAGTCATGTTGACTAATTTGAAGATATTGTCTTGCTGATCATTTTTCAAACTTGATACCCCAATGATGATTGTGATCAAGTTTGATTAAATTTGGCCTTGTAGCTTCAGAGGAGAAATTTTTTGTAAAAGTTTACAGGCGACGACGGACGCCAAGTGATGAAAAAAGCTCACTTGACCCTTTGGCCAGGTGAGCTAAAAAAATAGAACAGAAAAAGAGGTTCAAACTATCCTTATTCGTAGTACAAGTAGAAACCGCTTTATCAACAGGGAAAACACTCCCGCATCACTTACACATCAATCGACTTTAGTTTAATGATTGGGTCTCAATAAAAAGTAAAGTAGGGTAGGTAAGGAAGGAAGGACATGAAAATTTATAATATATACATGTAAATATGTCTAACAAAATGGGTTCAACGTGTATCCATCATAACAAAAAAAAAATAAATGTATTTCAATTATTTTGCTTCTACTTACTAGAAATCTGAGTTTGAAGATTACGTAGCATATTAATATGTCTAATTGTTTTATTTTCATTTTTGTATTTTACAACGAGGTTTACGGGTAAACAAGTAGTATTTCTAATTTTCAGCTTATTTGCCTGTTAATGTTCGTAGTTTGTAAATATCTTAAATTAACCGGCACTTGTTCTTCGTTTGCTCAGATTGATTGTGGTTGACGTCAAGCCGCAAAATGCGATCAAATCGGTTCTTTTGGTCTGTCTTGAACATGTAATGAGTTATGAGCTTTTCCTGCGTGTTGAATGTCTAATTGTAATATGAGATAAATAACAGCAATAAAAATGATATTGCTTTGTTAAGAACATGTAGGGATGTTTTGTCTTTGAACCAATATACTTTTATCTATTCTTTTCCATTCATTTCGTTTTTATATTCTTCCGCATTTATCAATCAATTCTTTTTATTGATTTATTAATTCATCTTTTTAAATAAACAAAATCTTTAAAAGCATCCATTTAATGATTTTTCAAATGAATAATTTACTTACTCCATTGACAACAAAGGCATATATCTGCCGTATTGACTGGATAGCTTTAGCACTGGATCCTCTATTTTTCAATCAATCCTTTTTTTTATTGATTTATTAATTCATCTATTTAAATAAGTAAAATATTTAAAAGCATCCGTTTAATGATTTTTCAAATGAATAATTTACTTACTCCATTGACAACAAAGGCATATATCTGACGTATTGAATGGATAGCCTTAGCGCTGGATCCTCTATTTTTGTCATACCAACTGAAACAGAATATGTAAACGTTAGTTACAAATGATCACAAATGAAACAAGTCATGCCTAGTCAGAACTGACTTATATTTCCAAATGGTTGCCTTTCCCGTGGTTAAAAAACAATTAATGTGTCCGTGTACAATGTCTATTTCAACAAAGCTTTTGTAAAAGTTTCATAGAAAAGTTTTGATGATGCCTTCAAACTGTATTTTGGACTATTCGGACACAACATTCCAGGGTTTAATAAGTTTCACCAAAAGAGAGTTTGACCCTAACTCCTTCCCTGTTTTGCTTTTGTGTCAATCTGCACTTCATTTTCGCCAATTGACAGTTAAACACAAGTCATGAGACATATAAGTTGTACAGAATTTATTGATATTATAACACAAATATCCATTCCGTCTGCCATCTGCCCCCTGTTCACAACTGGCAGGTCTAAGTGGGATTTAAGAATGTTGTAATGCCTATAAGAGGGTCTGGATAGGGTCTACAGAGTAGAGAATAATGGGTAAAAAGTGCAGAATAAAGGGCAAAAATATAAAGAATAGAGAAAAACAGACAAAACAGACAAAACAAAATAAAGAATAGAGAATAATGGGGTCTTAATATATAAAGAATAGAGGATAAAGGACATAAAAATTAAAAGAATACAGAATTGAAGGACTCCCCTCCCCCCCCCCCAAATCCAGACCCTCCTTAAAGAATTTCAATAAGAAAATTATCGACTTATTTCCCCGTTTTTCTTCTGTGTGTAAGAGATCCATCATGTCATAACAGAAGTGTTTAAATCAACGAACTCATCATGTATGTGAATACATATGCATACATGTATAATAGGAACATGTTCTCATTAAACACCACTTACCTACTACATGGGGTTAACCTTAGTAACGGTAATTATCTAAAATGTATCAGATCTTACCTGTTCAAATGAAATTGGCGCAAATAAAAAATTAATAATTGGCACAAATGATAAAAATTATATTTTCAAAATTGGCGCAATTCGGTGTCATACGCTTCCCTGCAAGGGTTGTCCATTTGTCTGTTAGGGATGTAGAATCATTATGCATGCAGCACCGCCCGGTCAGATCGGGGTCGATAAATCCATTACCTCGTATAGACAAAATACCACGTTCTGTGTTAAAAAATCAGTTGAAACAACTGTTTTAATGGGTCTCAAGGTGACATACTGCAAGGCCAACTTGTTGGTCCTATTCAACACATCGTCTTTAGAAGTCCCAGTCTAAATTTACTAACCGTCATCCCGGACGGACTTAGTGGAAATTACATTAGGTTCTGGATGGGGATTTACAGAATTGAGAATGAAGGCTTAACAAATATAGAATATAGTAAAATAGGCAAAAAAAAAGAAGATTAAAAACTAATGGGGTGCTGAAATATAAGGAATAGAGTAAAATGACTTTTTAAAAGAAGGAAAAGAGGAAAACGGCCTCTAAAACTAAAGAATAGAGACATGAGGACCCCATCCTGACCCTCTTACATGCACAATGTACAAATTGAAAATAATATTAATTTAATCTCATTAGAATATGCATCAAATATCTGCCACTGGACGTTAAACAATACACTAACCAATCAAACCACTACACTAAATCCGTTTGAAGTAAACTGTCTGATACTTTAAAAGGAACTTTCGTTATATGTTTGCCAGACTGATCAACAATGATGGCAATGGATAGATTGTGTTTTAATTCAGTAGTACAGGTCAAACGTGTAAAACAATATTTAATTTTACAAGACCATAAAACATATAACTGACATCCATGCCTTCTCGGCAAACGCGACTTTATGAATGTGCACGTAATATGCGCGAGGAAATAATTAGGTTATTTTTCCAACGGTTCTGCTAACCTTTTCTTGTTTGAAAAATTTTAGTACACAGGTCAAACGTGTAAAACAATATTTAATTTACAAGACCATGAAACATATAACTGACATCCATGCCTTTTCGGCAAACGCGACTTTATGAACGTGCACGTAAAATGCGCGAGGAAATAATTCGGTTATTCTTCCAACGGTTCTGCTAACCTTTTCTTGTTTGAAAAATTTTAGTACTATATAACATTCCTGTCCCAAGTCAGAAGCCTCTAGCCTTTGTTAGTCTTGTATTATTTTTAATTTTAGTTTCTTGTGTACAATTTGGAGTTTAGTATGGCGTTCATTACCACCGAACTAGTATATATATTTGTTTAGGGGCCAGCTGAAGGACGCCTCCGGGTGCGGGAATTTCTCGCTGCATTGAAGACCTGTTGGTGACCTTCTGCTGTTGTCTGTTCTATGGTCGGGTTGTTGTCTCTTTGACACATTCCCCATTTCCATTCTCAATTTTATTATTAAGAGTAGCTCACGATATTTTTAGAACAGTAAACATGTGTCATTAAATAAAACGGTTGTGCATTAGAGATAAGTGTTGTTTAATTTGTTGTAAAATATGATAAATATGCAAGACGTGCATGAAGATACGATATTCATCTAGAATTTGTCATCACAGTGAGGGAAGATAAAGAGAACATGTTGACAGATACTAAGCAAGCTTCCAATACTCCGCCTAATAAACAAATACACAGAACACGTACACTGAAGTAAATCTCTACCGATTCAATCTTTAGGGCACTTCAGATAATATTACAGACTAAGAGAAATTTATAAAGTATATAAAAATACCGTTGAAAAGTCATCCTGAAAAATATCTACGAGTTAAAGCGTAAGAACAGACTAAGAGAAATTTAACATAATTAACTATTTTTTTTTATCTATTCAAGATGAATCGTCAGCAACATCTGATACCGGATGGTCTGCGCATGCGTCCTTTATTTTAAAGGGTGTATGTTACTGGATGAGGCATGAATTGCAATAAACATCATAGCCCTTATTGAAATAACTTGGAAGTTCACCAGTACCCCTTACAATCATTCCATACACCACATATAGTTGACCTGCTGCTTGTAGTATCCGAGAAACGGACCTAATCACGTAACTTTAACCTTGATCACTGATCCATGAATTGAGGTCGAGGCAGGTTAACCCTGTCAGATGGACATGTAGACGTTGCAAGGAACCCATATACCAAATATAGTTATCCTATTACTCATAATACTAGTAAGTGAGAAATTCACATGACAAAATACTGTAATTTTTTTTCAAGCAGTCACTGAACCATAAACTGTACCAAGTCACTCACAAACTTATCATAAAAGTCCTTCGGACTTTTATTTGTTTGTGAGTGAATTGGTCGAGTTTATACACCAATAAATTCCTTTAAAAAGGTGTTTAATCCTATATTAAATATGTTTTATAGTATCATGAACAGTGTTTATAACTGATAACAGATCACTATTTAATTGCTGAATTTAATGACTGATTTACCGGTACCAAAATCTAAAGAAACATTTGCCAATCTTTCAATCTTAATAGTGTATTAAACAAATGTGAAAAGTGTAAACATTTGTGTTGATCATAAGTTCAGATAATGAACTTCCAATGGGATTTAGGTATATCGTGTACAAATGTACACAGTCTTTATCCTAGAGGTCGAACCCCCTCTTTTTTTATTGGAAATAATTTTTACCATAAGATCGTCCAAACAACGTTTTTCGTCAGGTTTAAAGAACTACGCCCCCCTTTCAAACATCCTGTATTTGCCGACTTTGACGAGGTTTCCGACTAAGGACATGACAGTAGTATGTAGCGAGTTAAATGATTACTTTTGAAATCTTAAAGGGTTGTATAGCCTCACCGAACCTCCTTGGCACACTCTCTTGTACCCCTGTTGTTATTCTTATATATCCTTCAACCCGTGCGTATATCAGATGCCCTTATCAAATATTGGTACATTATCACCTATCAATCTAACTGTCTGTTAATTTAGTTTGATCAATAGCATACACAAATATAAGATAACCAAAAAAAGTTTTATCGCCATCAAACAGCATGTCACAGAGAAATTTATCAAGATTAAATAGCATGTCGGAGGGTCTGGATGGCGAGCGGGGTCCTACATTTTTGTATTCTTTAAATTTGTTGACATTTTTCTCTATTCTTTAATTGTTTTGACATTTTTCTCTATTCTTTATATTTTTTGTCCATTATTCTCTATTCTTTATATTAAAGCACCCCATCATGCTCTATTCTATGTTTTTTTTTGTCCTATTTTTCTCTAAATTTTTGTTTTGCCCATTATTCACTATTTTGTAAACCCTATTCAGACCCTCATGTCGATAGCGCAGCCTTAAAACAAACAAGTTAATCCACATAAACAACATGCATCGAAAAATTAAATCGATTTGCACGCGAAAAGGAAACTGTCAAAGAGTACTAAATCGTACAAATTATTCACCATATTATTATCTATAACTTACGTGTAAGAATGCATTTGACAATTGCATTACGTTTATTATTGTTGAAGATTATCAACCAGGATGTCATAAATGATAAATTTTTAAAAAATGTAATGTTTGATATTAGGAATATGATGCAAAACTGAATACAGTTACACCTGGGACTATTATACTAATTAGTATAATAGTCCCAGTTAGTATAATAGTCCCAGGTTACACTGTTACCATCCTGGACATTGTATAGAAAGAAAATTATAACACAATATCGCTGGGTAAATAATGTGTCTACAGCCGAAGATATTTCTTCAAAGAAAACATAAGTATACCAGGCTATTACGTGCCCTATATTTCAAATAATCATTCCTACAACCATTTGACCTTATAGGGATTAAGTTTAAACATATTGTACTTGCTAAATCTAAGCAAAATGGTGAGACACAAGTAAATCTTCCCCATAAATACATGTAATACAATATGATTATATATAAAATAATAATATTATGAGTATGCGTGTAAAGGAACAAATTATTTGGATATTATACGAACTATAAATAAAAAGAAGAAAAGAAAAGGAAGAAGCAAAGATTATTCTATGATGATGACGTAGACCTGATCAGGAATTACAGCATCACAAGAAAGTTTTGTCATCTTATAACCGTTCAAATGAAATGTTTTAATCTGTCAACTAAACTCAAATGAGCATGAACAATGTAATCATTCTTCATAGCATAACAAATAAATTATATTATTCCACTGTTTAAACATATTGATAGTTTAATCAATATTTGATTGGTTGAGACTATCCCACGTGTCATTGAACAAATCTTCATATTCCATTCTGAGGATCATATTCCCCTCTGAAATGTCGGGATTACTTCGTGCGACGTTACGCGCGGTTAATGTACATAACGTTTTGAACTTCTTATTCTTCTTAAAATAGCGATAGCTAAACTCATGAACATGTTCAAATTTATTTCAGACGATAAAACAAAAAATCTTATAATTAAATTTTGATCCTTACTGTTTATCAATGGGTATGTCGTGTTTAGTTTGACTTACAAAAACAAGCGGATAAGAAAAAAAATGTATGCAAAATAATATTTAATGTATTGATAGTAAACAAAGCATAGGCAGTGGAATAAAACATTCATTTCCCTTTGCCTCGGGAGATATGAAGATTTGTTCACCCTCGAAAAATCATATTTCCCTCGGGCAGAGCCCTTGTGAAATATGAATATTCTTGGGTGAACAAATCTTCATATCTCCCTCCGGCACGGGAAATAAATGTATAATATCGCATAGCAAAGTAATTTTTTGAACAGAACATAACCGAAAGTTAGCGTACAATAGTATATGATTTTACTGGCAATCGTATGCATGAAAGTTTCATCATCAGGCAACAAGTGCCCTTTTTGTTGCATATTTACAAAACAGTATCTTCTCAACACAGAATCCCTGCTTTTAATTACTGTAAACTAGATACTTTCAAATAACACAAATTTAAGGACTTAAAAATGTGTGTGCATCATGTGCATGTATGTTTGTCAAGATGGTGTATTTGGATTTCTTTGAAAGTTGTGTTTTTCGGTATAATAAACATGTAATGACTGGTTATGAGGATAATAGCAAATGTGCTGTCCTCTCGATACCTCGCCTCGACCAATAGTTGATTTCTAAGGGACAACAAGCTTGCCTTTACCCTCATAACCAGTCAATAAGTGTATAAAAGTAATGCAATTACCCTATAATATTAAGTTTTAGACCTCTTTCGACCAGGCAAAACAATGTCGTTATAACTTACTGTTTATATATGGAATAATCCACTACAAATAGTACTTCTACGTTGTAAGAAGGTGCTCGTTTCTTTCTGCGGTGCTCTGGAAAGGTTTTCTCAATATCTGAAAGTTAAAATAAAAACATCGTCATATACTTCATTGATTAGTTTTTGATTCATTTTTAGAAATCGCGGTCATGAAATGTTACAGACTTTTTGTAGTGAGATCATGTAAACACAGAAAATATATATGTATAAGATCTGATTGATTGATTGATTGATTGATTGTTTTTAACGCCATTTTTAGTACTTGGATATAGCATTACGGCAGTTGTTATCGGTGGTGGAAGCTAGAGTATCCAGAGAGAACCACTGTGACAAGACCTTCACCAGAAAATATGGCAATCTTAAGATTGGAGTCAAAAGCTTGATATGCTAGTGATCACTATAAAACTAATTATTATGCATTATAATCATAAGATTCGGACACGAGAGCAGGTGCATAGCAGGAAAATCGACATATTTCAAAAATAACTAAATGAAATATTGACGAAGGAGGTGGCGATGACGATGTATAAGAGGGCATGTGAATTATCCTCAATAAAAAAGCCTAGCTCTATGAGAGGAATGTACGTGGAGTGTCATTTAATAAAGCAAAACACTATGCTCATGCGACTATCGGAAACGAATATCTACATGGTATCATTTAGCCTCCGACAAAGATTAGCATGCACTAAAACCAAATAGAAAAGCCTTAAATAAAGCTTGCATTGTCACAGAAAGCACGAGATTCCGTTGACTATATAACATGATATAAACAAAAAGAAAATGAGAGCTAATAACAAGAAGACCATTTCCAGAATACAGGTTAACGTTTTTCCCGCAAAGCCCCTTTACCTTTTCTTTTGCCTCCGATATCGCCAAATGGATTAAAAACAACCGACTACCTGTATATTGTGAAGTTGTATGATATTCAACCACCACCCTATAAAAACAATAATTGCAACCATTTCCCAACTCGTATAGTTGTGGAGATGCACGCAGTATAACTATACCAAAGGAAGTTCCTTGTCCGATTCAAGATCAGCATAGCCAGGATTGTATAATTTCTTCTAGTCGTAGAATTTGAAGAGAAATAAGTTATGAACTTAAACATTTTAAATTGGACATTTACCTATTATGGTCCAAATTCAAAAATCTAAGTACATGGTTAGATTTTTTGATGAAATCAAACAAAGTGTAATTTTGGACCCCGATTTGGACCAATTGAAAACTGGCCTAAAATCTAAAATCTGAATACATGTTTAAATTCAGCATATCAAAGAACACTAAGAATTTAATTTTTGTTTAAAATCGCTCTAAATTTAATTTTGGACCCTTAGGACCTCAATCATGTCATTGTGGATCAATTTAAAAACGGACCCAAAATTCAAAATCTAAATACAATGTACACGGTTAAATTCAGCATAATAAAGAACCCCAAGAATTCAAGATTTTGAATTGAACCCCATTGAAATTAGTCAAGAAATAAGCAATTAGAAAAGTATTGTTTTTGATCCCTTTTTCTAAACAGTCAGGGCCATAACCCCCAAAATCAATCCCAACCTTCCCTTTTAAATATGGAACCTTGCGGTACTATTTCATTGCGATACATAGACTTATACTCAAGTTATTGTCTGTTTTTTTGCCCCTTGTTTGTCCCTAATTTCTAAACGGTTTGGGCCATAACCCCCAATATCAATACCAACCTTCCTATTGTGGTATGGAACCTTGTGGTACGATTTCATAGAGATCCATACACTTATAATGAAGTTATTGTCTTCGGACGACGACGACGTGGACGACGACAACGTCATACCATTAAACGGCCGCAAAAATTTTGCGGTCGTATAAAAATACACGTATAAAACAAAAGCGGTTCAAACTTTAATTTAATACTAGTAATAAACTTTCAATCGTGTTTTAAAACGCGGCGTTTGGTGTATACATGTAAATAAGTTAATACATTCTACATTATATCACTTACTTGTGTATATTGGGTCTTTCAGATTTTTATGTTTCAGTGACGGCGTTTTCCATATCTTAAAATGATAGATACTCTTTGGCTGTTGAGACTCCTTATGTGTCACAAAAGAATTATTGTTTTTAAACTCTAAGATGTATTCCTCATTTTCTAAGTGGAATGTACCATACTGAAAGCAAAAGAAGCTCATCAAAGATAAAAGATTTTTAATTTAGGGCACCAGACGCGGGGACTCATCGGTGGTGCTCGAATCCAAGCAGTTAGAAATGCAAAGTTGAATTGCATATAAAACCAAAACTTCCAAAGCGTTTTGACAAATCATACAATGTATGTCTAGGGGTAGAAAACCGTTTTTATTTTATAAACAAAGACCAGTTAATCAAGTATATTTATCAATACTTTATCTTACAATTTAACTATACTAGTATAATAAAAACGTATATGGCTAAAAGTTCAATCTACATTTATTACTACAAAAGATCTTTTCCATATTTTGATCCGCGACGGTCATCCTGCAGAATTGTAAAATAAATATAACATTTTCGTCATGAACATTGAAAATCTTAATAAGAGGAGTTGCTAGGTATACTTCGATGGGACAGCAATCAAACAATTCAACAAATAAAAGACCCATAGAGGTTAACATACAGTCTTTAACAATATATAAAGCCATAAAAAGACCCGAGTCTATTTATAGATATAGACTATTATGCAAAGTTCTGCTATTAGCACCAACTATCATGAAGAGCAAAATATCTGTCAGAGATGATAATACAGACATCGGACATAATTGGTATTTGAAAGAGGGCCCTTTATAGCTTGCTGTTCGGTATGAGCCAAGGCTCCGTGAGGAAGACCGTACTTTGACCTTTAATGGTTTACTTTTATAAATTTTGACTTGGATGGAGATTTGTCTCATTGGCACTCATACCACATCTTCTTATATCTATTTGAAAGACTCTTGTAAGTTTAACATTCTTTAGTGAGCCATTGGGTTTTGTAAAATGAAATCACTTTTGTTTTACATTCGGGAAATTAATGGCAGGTTTCCCCACTAAGGAAAACATTAAGAAATACAATTCATTTAAACAAATACAGCTAGCTTTTAGTGAGTTTTTGATAAGCTTAAATAAATAAATGCAATTTATCTGCATCAAATGTTTTTCAAATAGAGACATTTTATGTTGTACATTGTACTTGTGACATTGTACTTGTGACATTTATTTGTACACAGTTAAAAAAAAACTTTAAATTTTTTTTAAATAGATAAAGATAAAACTATTTGTCTATACGAAACCTTGTCCTGGTCGCACTTTCACATTACCCGGTTCAGAGAATAGAGAAACCTGTATTAAAATCAAGTTTGCCATTTAGTTTTAAAAAATCACATCATATTGACGTATTACTATCTTTCTAGTTGATGTGACCAATTCATCGTAAACTACATTTAGCCAAAAGATAAACCAGATACGAGAGAGACAAGCGGACGGACGGGCGGGAGGAAGCACTAACTTCCTTAAGCAGGGCGTATAGAAATTTAATTTATAAGAATTTATTCATCGGGAATTTTACCTCTTTGTGTATGCATTCAACTAATAAGGAAACAAAAAAATGACTCACATGTTTCATCTTTATTTTCTGAGAAAAATCAATCAACGATATCCTTTTATATTCTTATGTAAAAATAGTTTTCATTTTGTTCATATTTGCTATTCATCGTTATCATGTTTTAACCGTCTCAGTGCAAAGAAATTTTGCAAAACGAACGTATTCCTTGAAAATGAGCTCGCTGATTAAGGGTCTAGATATGGGGGTCCTTCATACCTTTATTCTTTATCTCTATTCTTTATTTTTTACACTTTATTCAGCATCTTTTGTCAATTATTCTCCATTCTGTAAACCCCATCCATGCAGACCCTCTTGAATTCTTACTTTTAACTATCATATTACCATGACAATGATGTTAAAAACAGCAGGGTGTAAACTACGTTTTGGTCCAAAAATCTATCATTTCTCAAAATCGCATACTACATAAAGTAGCTGAAAGGGTGCCAACTTAAAATACGTTTACAGAATGAATCACATTGTCGTACGATTTTTAGGTGAACCATAGTCATTCATGTATATACCCCTTATGGCAGTACTTATATATGTAAACTGTTATAAAACTCCATATCTAGTAATAAACCAGAAACGAAGGTCAAGATTATACATTGCAAAGGTCAAGGATATTAGAATGACCATTTTTATATAAGTACAATGTGTCCGGAAGGAGTTACCACAATCTATCTAATATTACTGATCTCAGCAACCAAATATGTTTAATTGTCATATAAATTAAGTCATTTTCATAATTTTCGTTTCTTGTATTTATTTCTAGGAAAGTTGGTACCAGCAAATTTTCAGTGGTCCATAGCTTACATTAAGTAGTGTCAGAATTGTTTGTAAATCATATTCCAAGGTCCTATAGTATATACCTCAGGTAAGAAAATGTTAAGCTATAGGACGGGAAATACATGTAATGCTAGGGGCAACATTAACGGGATTTAAATTCTCATATGTAAAGATAATGTAGGATTTTGGATAGATCTAACAGACTTCTGTTTTTGGCATCACCTGTATTGCTTCAATCTACGTCTTTTTCGCTTAGTTTGGTGGGCTTCTAAAATTCGACACCTGTTCAATTTCAGCAGTAAGAGTATACCCGACATGTTCTTCATTTGCGATTGACCAATGATATTGTAAGGAATCATGCCACATACATGGACCCCAACCCTTTTCTACATGTAGCACCAAATTAAACGAGGCTGCATATTTATACATCCCACAGGCACAGTCAGGCACACCCTTTCCACGCGAAAATAAAAACAAACAAAAACGAAAAAATTCGGCGATAGTTCCATTTGTAAAGACACATAACTCTAAAACGGTATAAGTGAGGCCACCAAAATTCAAACTTGATCTGTGTTTTGTCGTAATAAGTATTGTGTATACGTTTCATAACATTTGGTTGATGCAAACTAAAGTAAGAGAACGGAAACCAATTTTGGGACGTACGTACGGACGGACAGACGGACAATGGTAAAACATAATGACCCTCCGCTACGGTGGGGGCATTAAAAAGAAAACTCACCTCACCACAAGGTTTTCAAGGTGTTATTTTTCCTATGTCCAGTAAACCCTTGTGTTGAATTCTAATTGGTCATATCTATCGTATAGTTCATGTCACCCCCTTGAATGACCACTGTGTTTCAATCTAAATGTATGTATACGTACCATATGACTCCTTAAGCCATCGATAGATTCAATGTAGAACGAGGCTCCATTGGAGGTGTCGTAATAATAATTCACATCCTGCAAATAATGTGTTAAAATATTTAATAAAGAAAATAAAGAACACAATTATATTAGCATACGGAAATTTCAAATCACATCAATCAGTTATTTGCGAACAAAATAGCTAAATTGTGTAGAAAGGATTCACGCTTAATTTGCATAATTCAGAGAATTTAATCCAACTCTAATCATAATATCCAACTAACTATCCTATCGGAACCCACTCCTCTGTAAACCTGGCAAAATATTTATCAAATCGTTTTTTTTTTCTTTCCAAATATTTCCGGAAGTACTATATTGACAGAATTCCACGCTCCGGAGTTAATAATCTAAAGCATTTTTTAACAAAGTACATAAAATTGATAATCTTTGACACTTTATGCACAATAACATGTAAAAATAAATGATACATAATGTTTCCCTGCCATGTGAAATGGCTTTAGGGAGGGGTCCATTACATATTGTCTCCAAATATTTGATAATATTTAACTGAATTCTGCCTATATATATATACACACAGTATACATAAGTTTGACGATACCAGAACTACAGATAAAACTTTTATAAAAAGACAAGAAGTGGTCTACGAAATACTATTTAACTCTTCAAAAAACCAATGTTGCTGCGGAGGTGTGGAGGTGTCGAAATTTACTTTTTAATATAGCACCCGTCATTTCCAAGTCGATTTAAGAAAAATCTCTATAATGGGTGTTTCTGCATGCATCATTAATGTTTAGGGATACTTCATAATATCAGGAACATCACGAGAAAGGTACACATGTTTTTCAAAACATGCTTTAAATGGTTTAATTTGTTGAATTGTTGCTCTGTTCTAGAAGAAAAGGTCAATAGTTTACATACATGACTTGTACATATATTCACTGAAAACTTCAAAAATATAGGTAGGTCAATTTCATCCGAATTTATAGCTACCTAACCAGGATAATTTTTGAAAACTTCTTCAATTTGTTCTTAAATCTATAATATCATTGCGCTCAATAAAAATGCCTAAAGGTTGTCTATGTATATTTTTTCCTCCTAACAGATGTTCTTCTGGAAGCTTTGTTATAAAAAAAAATCTAAGATATCTGTTCCTATCGGAACAAATATTCTATACCCTTTATCAACATGTTTATGGCGACAGGAACAAATATCCTATATAAACTCTTTATTCCTTCAGGAATAAGTTTTCTATACCCGTCATGCCTGTAATATTTCTTTTTGATATTTTGATATTATACAGGAACTACTATTCAATGACAAAATTGCCAAACTTTACAATTTTGAAAGCTTTTGATAAAGTTCAAGTACTTCCCCGATGATAATTCTAATTACAATGCTTGAGCAATCATTTATACAAACACAGCAAGCAAACCAATCAAAGTCTCACTCTACAAGCATTAGGAAATTAGCTCTAACCAAAACCATAGATGTATACATCTATGCCAAAACCAATATTTTATCAATCTTCTTCTACCAATACGCGGCCACCATCAATAAGTTGATTGTGGTGGCCGCGTATTGGTAGAAGAAGATTCATAAAATATTGGTTTTGGCATAGATGTATACATCTATGGTTTTGGTTAGAGCTAATTTCCTAATGCTTGTAGAGTGAGACTTTGATTTATGGTAGTAAATCTATGTATACTAAATAATCTATTTTTGTTATGAGTTCTTTGTTTCGATGTAAAATTGGGGGTAAATACAATAATTTTTATCCTTGTTTTTAACGGCAATGTGTATAAAGCGCTGAATAACATTTTAATTCTAATATGGATATACATAATGCATGGATAATTGTCATAAAATTCTTTAAAAATAAATTATTCAATATATCTTAAATGTTCAAACACTAGTTTTATCATCTTTAGTATCTTGATCCCATTGGGTGGTACACATTTAGGGGAAATTGACCATACTTCTAACGAAAAGCACACGCTTAAACTATCATTCATTCACCAGACACTAAATGATCAAAGTAATATATTAAGTGTTTTCAAGTAGATACATGGACATGACCTCTCATCATTTAGCAAATACATCGGTATTTTTACATTGTTATAAGCTTTTAATATTAACAAGTATATTTACATAATTAGTATTTTCCTTTGAAGCGCCAGTGGGTACTAGAGAAACTCTATATATTTAAGATTAACAATATATATTAGTTCATGCATGTTAAAATACATTATTTTTTTAAATTCATACACTCACTTCGATGCTCCCTTTCGGGTATAATTTTTGTTTTAATATTTTATCCTTTTTTGATCATTTTCACCATCTACTTGCTTGTTGCCTTCGAGGCTGAATTCACCGAAGTGAACGGACTATAAAAACTGGATTTTTTTTGGGTTAAATTTGTGCTCTATACTGCCAAATATAAGCATGCACATATGTCATACAAAGTACATCATATTGCAGTTAGTTTTATGCTTTTGTATGCATGTGTGTATATATACTTACGTGTAAATCTGTGTGTAAATCTTCTCTTATTATTGAGCCATTTTGTGCAAAAACGTACACTGGAATTCTGGAATTCAGTTGAGCATTTTGTTGTAATTTTAATATCACAGGTTTCGATGAGAGAGAAAATTTTAATGAGATATCGTATTTAGAACTAACTGAACGTCTATATATATTGTTATCTAATAACTCTACTCGTATGGAACCTGAAATCAGAAAGAAGTGGATGTTAAGTAAGTAGTAATCAAATCCTATCCCTTCCTAGTCTTTTTTTTCACCATAATACCACAACTAAATAAATCGTACGTGCAATGGTCTGGATGAAATTAGATTTGCCATAACTTCCAGAAATTCTCAAAAATCGACAAAAAATAGCTGCTATTGTAATTAAACTTATTTCGGGGCCTTGTATAGCTTTATATGCGGTGTGAGTGTTGCTCATTGTTGAAGGCCGTACGGTGGTCTACAGTTACTAACTTTTACATCATTTGGTCTGTGGTGAAGAATTGTCTCATTGGCAATCATACCACATCTTCTCATTTTCATATTAAATGTATATGGATCGTAGCCCTTACGAAATAGTATACCAAAACATTTCAAATACTCGCTTACTAAATTATTTTTACCTATCATGTTTTAACTATGTGGAACTTGGCGCAGTATAGTAGGTTCGCGCTGACGCGAGCGACGTTAAGCAGTGAGCAATCGATCAATTAACAATTATGTGAAAAGCTTGTGCATATTTTTGATATCTTTTTCTCTCAACAAATCAAATTACATCGTTAGATCAACAACTATGTTATGTCATTAGTGATGTTGAGCAGGGACAGAGATTGCTACAATGTACAATATCTTCGAATCAAACAATCAGAGCTTTTGAGTTCTACATCTGCAAAATTCTTATATAATATCAAAATTTACCAAGAAGAAAAATCTAGATCTCGGGACCCTCCAAAAAATCATTATGTGTCCCTGTGGACCTCTAACCATGTCGTTTCTTTCGAAAACTTTCACAAATGTAATTTTTTGACAAAGGTTGGTTGAACCAAAATTCCCGCTAACCCTAAGTATTATTCATAGGCATTATATAAACATACACGTTCTTGGTCAGAATATTCCAAAAGGTATATGGCACTGATCAATAAAATTGCTTATTTTATGTAATCAAACGATTAACTTTTTTTCTTTATCTTCCGTAGCCTCTCCCCCGTATACTACACTTTGATACTCGCAGGCCGACTGCTATATGCTGTTGTTTTACCAAAATTACAAGCAAATGAAAAGGCACAGTGACCTTTATCGTATTTATTTTGTCCATATATCTTAATTAGTACATTTATAAACAACTTACCAGAGTTGAAATTAACATCCTGGTTTAAAACAGTTTGTTTGAAACAATTGTAACCACCGAAAATCCATATAAAATAACATAAAACGAACTCCAAGTGAAACATCTTACATTTGTAAAATATTGAAAATATAAGGAAGTGAGTAAGTACACTTATAATAATCATGTGACTTCAATAAATAATCTTGTACAATAGATATTGCGCTGTTTTCCGGATGACTGACTCCAGGGTTGAATGTGTATTGCCGTTGTAAACATTGTAAATCAAGACAGCGTGAAATTTGACATTTAGATATGAGTTACCTGATTTTCTCACCTAATACAGGTAAAATAAAGGTAATCTATAAATATGAACAAATAACGTACAATTATTGTTACAAGGTCTCCTATATTTTATTTTTTTATCAATGAAAGTTTAACTTTCAGATCATAATCAATTACATTATGTTGGACTCGTACCGCTCAATTCAATTTAATATATATAATGGAATAACTTGAAAATAATTTTTGAATTATTATTTCTTTTCCTATCACACGGCTACATCAAATGACCCCTCCCAGTTTTTGGCCAATCCTCCTGTGTCAAAGTTCTAAGTAACTTTAACTCTACTACTTCACATGATTCATCACCACAAACGTCAAAAGATGATAAATTCTGTTTATACGAACATATTTGTTTATAATTTATTTTTTTTATCCCTGGAGAACAAACAAATCTGATAATTGAAGAACTAAGCTAAACAATATTTAAGACAAACACACGGCAGCAGTAACCACTATCAACATATAACCAACGATTACACACTACTTGTATCTATCTAATCATTCTTTTCTTAGTTTAGATAAAATAAATAATTATCACAGGACTGAAAGTGTGCAAAAATATATGAAGAATACAATTAAACACGTTATCAACTCATATAGATGCTATTAATTTTGGCATTTAACCTTGAAATAACTGAGGTACGAAACCTCATATACATGATTGAATTCCAGTTGCAAATATTTCTAGCATATTCATTTGAAAGACACATTAACATTATTTAGATTGGCTCTAAGCGTTTCAAAATATAACCACAATTGAAAACTAACAACTGGCCAGAACAAAGCGCACGTGTGTCCTCCCCTTGTTCTCAAAATATTAAAGATTGATCGTTACCTAGTCCATATTTGTGTTGATGTTCAATCGAACTCGATTTCAAGTGGAACATCTCTTGTCAACTACAGATGGATGAATTGATTTAACGTCCAGTGGCCAACTTTACATGCATATCAGGACGAGAACATGTTGATGTAATATAAAGGCCGTACCTTGACCTATAATGGTTTACTTTTATAAATTGTAACTTGGATTGAGAGTTGTCTCATTGGCACTCATACCACATCTTCCTATATCTATATATAAGCCCTGTTTTGTACAAGACTGAATCACTGAGCTGGATTATTAACGTGCTTGTTCGTAACAGAACATAGGAAGGCATGTCACCCTTTATTACTCGAACTCCAAGTCGACAAGTCTTTGTTGTTACTTCCAAATGCCGCGTGCTTAACATAGAGGCAGCAATTACCTACATATATACATATATATGTGCAAGATTTTGGTTTGACCCGATCAGAGAATGAACCCATGACCTCCCACACTACCAAGATACAACCGATGCGGTCTTTCACATAAAATATAATCTCATGGATTCTCCTTGGGTGATCGAGTGGCCAAGATGTGTTGACTTTCGTCACATCATGAATTTTCAACGGTATTTTTACAAGCGGCGAATGATCTAGCCAAAAAAGCAGAAGGGATGGATATTTTTACTGCAACTGAAAATGACAACATTTTAATATTCTCCTGATGAATCATAAGATGACAAAAGTACAGATAACCGGATACATCCCTTTGTATATGTAATATTTATGTATTTTCCGATATGTAAAGCTTTTGTATATCATTTAGTTTCATTGTAATTGTCTGTATTTGATGTTATCGCCCTGATTCACATGTCGGTATTCGCTCTGATTCACATAGTGTTATGACGAATTACAAAAGTTTATAAAGTCATTAAATGTGTTTCCTTGACCACTAATTATGTGACATTATCGTCTGGGGAGGGGATGGACATCTCAAAGTCCCAATGTTGATGGTCAAAATGAAAGAAAGGGGGAAGAACACGTTGAGAAAGGTAACTCGTCCTTGGGGAGGAGGATAAAAATAAAGTTTGAACTCAGAGACTAACAATTGAAATAAATACTAGTAAATGAAAGTAAAAAGATCAAGAATACGTGTTAACAGAACACCGTGCCCCCCTCGCATTATCACATTTCCATATTGAGTAAACCATGGAATAAGAATTATATATTATATATAATTTGGCATAAGTACTAAACACGTTATTTTAACCAAAACTTCTACCTGATACGGAACGGATGGACGAACGTAAGGCAGAGCCAGAAACCGGAAAAAACAATGCCCGTCTACTATCGCAGTCGGGACAACAACAAAAAATATAACACTTGCATTTTACTAACTGGGAGCCATACAAAACTAAATTTAGTTAAACTCATTCAGTTATTATCATTTTATGTGATTACTTTATTTAGAAACAAAAATTCAGTTATACTGATGTACAAGTTTTAGACGACCAATTGGGGGATTCAGAGGAGGGGTGCCGGTGTTTGAGGTTTTTTTTTTTGTAAAATTCGAAAATACTGGTCAAATCAGGTACAAATGTACCAAAACCTTCTTGATCCCGCCTCTTTTGACGCACACACACAGACACACAAGAACACATTTTAATTCCTTTTGAAACCTTATTACGGATCTCTCGAAATGAATATCTGACCTGCTGTCAAATCGTGCAGTAAATCACCGTATATCATTGTATATAATCGTATCACGGCTGCTGATATTACATTTTTATGCTACATTACATAATTGGAGATTTGCCTACTACCATCAACAGAACAAAATATTACAGTATTACAGGAAAAAGAGATATTTTGTAATACAAATCAAACGTTGTAACTGCCAGAAAATCGATTTAACAGAAGTATGATTCACTTAACTATGACTGTGTCATTTCAAACTGACTTATAAGTGTATGCGGTTTACCGAATAAAAGTGTAAAGTTCTAGTGAACAATGAAACAACCCAAGAGAACCCCAAACCGAAAAATCGAATAAAATTAAATTTAAACAAATATACCCACGATTCTTGAAAAGTTCCCTCCTTGACCCCGTATACAGAAAAAAAAAATGAAATCAAATTATACTTAATTAAATATACCCCAGAAAAGCAGAACGAGCATTATTTAAGTTCATACCACAGGTGATTGGCTATTTTCTTTTTTAATTAATTCACAATAAAATTTCTAAATTTCTTCAGTATGCAGAATGGTGCTGTTGGTCGTGGGGGAGTTCATTCCCCAAGCACCTGTAGTCCGTACTATTATGTTTGTAGCCATTTGAAGTGTCTAACTGGTATAGTCTAAATGTGTGGAATGTTTACAGTGAATTCATCAAATGACAAAAAAAAACAAAAAAAAACTGCTGGTCTATAGACTATTGGATTGGGTGAAAGAAAGCAATAATCTTATTAATTACTGGCATTATTTACGGTACTTAGAATAAAATAGCGTGAGACTTCTGATTGGGTAATACAGATTTGGAAATATATTTTATTTGTAAAGCTTATCCATTTAACACATGTTAAGGTAAAAAAATTCCGGGAAATTACATTTATATTTTTTAAAATGTAGAAATTAACCTGTCAACTAAGGAGCCATTCAAAACTTGCCTTTCTATTGAATGCAAACATTGGAAGCTTCCATTATAACTGTATTTAAGGGCACTCTTTCCACATGCCATATATTTTTTGTTTTTGCTTTAGTACCAACTAGAACTGCTATACATTTTTTATATTTGTTTATTCTTTAACAATGTTAAAAAAATAAAATTTTGAACACCTTTGGTATCCAAAAGGAAAATGCATTGCTAATAGTTGCGCTCTTGTAACCTAGAGACGTTCTTGTAACCTAGAGACGTTCTTGTAACCTAGAGACGTTCTTGTAAACACTTCTTTTATTAGTATACATAGTTTATATATGTTTGAATTTAAAATTTATTTATATAAAGGTTGCGTTACATTTTTGTAAATGAAAGCAATAAATATTTACGAGTAAATAATATCACATATAAAGAAAGAAAATATGAACATGATGAAGGAGAAAAGAAAGAGAGAAAGAAAGAAAATCAAACTTTTTTTAGTGTGGTGAACAAAGCATGAGTTAGATATAATCATGATAATAGGATGAAACTATTTTTCCTTAAAATATTGAAAAAAATAAGAACATAAAATAGTGTACGAGAAGAAGTATTTTTTTAAAAAAAACTATAAGAATATTATTGAACATGTTGAAATCGCAGAATAATAAATCAATTGTAGAAACATGATGAACAAAATCCGATAAAATCATAAATCTTAGCGACAAAGAACTATATCAGTACGAATACAAATATATTCAATACACACTTATTACATATATAATTATAAACATAACCTGTATGTATAATACACAGTTGGATGTGTATGATAAAGTCTATGGCTTATAACCACCCACATAATTTTACCTATTATTTTAAGTACTACAAGTACATAAGTTTTGCAATTAACTAGAAAAATTACTTACTTTGTACTTCAGGATTATCATTTATGTCCCAATTACGATATTGATCTGATATATCAGGTGGTTTATCTTTCACTTTACATTTTATCGACGTTAATATTGTAAAAATCCATATTGAATACAAAAATAAGGTGTTCATAATGAAAATACTATTAATATTTCTATAGAGAGAGTAGTTCTACACGTGCACTTCATTGTACGCTTCTATTTATAGCACATGATCAACACACACTATCTCACATCGATTCTGGATCGGATTACGCAAACGGAAAAAAACTCATTAATATTCAATATTAAAAGTATACTGAGTGGCCTTCTGTTTACGTGTTTATGTCGGTCAATATCTTAATGTATCAACCACTGAAGTGCCTGCTACAAATGTGTATTACCGACAGAATGAGGGATTCATGTTTAACATCAATATTTCATGCATATATTTGTTGCGAGAAAAAAATAGCAACAATTCAATTACGTGACATATTTGGGTCTTCGGATTAGTCGACTGTGCTGAAGGGCGGAGAATCTCGGCTTCCACTTACTAGAAAAAGAGGGTATGTTTTTGGAAGGAAGACATTTTGCCTTGGAAAACGTCACATAGTCACCCCTCAGAGATTTATTGGTAACGATAAATATAAAGAGTACGCATGTCACTAGCATTTGCTAATACATACTTATTACGATACTTATATAAAATGGACCTCTCCCCTCTCTTTCAGCACAGATTTGCCCGACGGACATTGCAAGTGCATATTTCTAAACCACATTTTTGAACTGAAAAAATAAGTAAACATAGAAAGTCTTCATCACTGAACTTCATGAGTTGTTAAAATACTGTACTTTAAACTGATTGCTTCTAATGTCAGAGCTTGTAACAGAATATCCTGACTTTAATATCTTTTGTTGTTGCCGAGCATATGTGACGGCGATAAGTGACGTATTGAGGCCAAGGAAATCAATGCATGTATAGTAGAAAAATAAGGAGATGTTCGTCAGATTTAAGTTATATCACATATCGTATAGCTAATTTAATTTCAAGTACAAAAGAAGTAGTTACATTTCTAGAGATCATCGTCTGTAGTTGATGAGACAAAATGCAACTTATAATATGACGGACGGACGCACATGTAAAATACAGACGAGGTAGGTGACGAACAGAGGTAAATCAAGGTACCCACCCTTACTCTTTAGGTACGGGAATATCATCATACAGTGAAAACTGTTGTTCCCTGACAAATCAATAGTTCAGAAATAAGACTGCTATGACATAAAGAGTCATAGGAAGATACAAATTTATTTTTCCTGTATCGTCAAGTGCTCGTTTCGTATTGGTTTGGATGTGTTTATAATGTCCTGATAAATTTGTAGCGAATATTGAGTTAAAATTTTAATTATTGGAGGATAAAAAGGTTCATAAATAGAAAAGACTTTATCTAAAAAAAACATCCTGAATTTGGTACGTGTAACATATATTGCATTTGAATAGCAGGAACTGTAGAGTAGACGTCACAGAGACATCAACTAAAACAAAAGGTATATAGGTTTTTCACCAATAAACAGCTATCGATGTACAATATGTCCAGCACTAAATCGCAAAAAGACTAAACAGTTTGGAATCAATGTAAGATCCTCAAAGATTTGCCATCAACACCGAAAAAAAAAAATGAAAAAAAAAATATATAAAGATGTGACAGTGACAATCACTGACGAGGATAGGTTCATGACCATGTGCTTGTTTAAATTTATTTACTGATTATTTGCGAATAATTCGCCGGTGAAAGTTATCCCAGAAAAGAGCTTCGGGTGTTGCACAATGGATTCTAAATTACTCGCATATCAAGAAACGATCCGGATTGAAACAATATTTGAAGACTCCTTCCCAAAATCAAGATCATATCGATGGTCGTTGTTTGCGTTTTTATCAACAAGATAATTTACTCGTGAGGTATGAAGGCTTCATTTTTCTAACTGAAAGCTTAAAATGGTGGCGAAAGATACCAAAGTGATAATCAAACTCATAAGTTGAAAACAAATTGACAATGCCACGGCAAAAAACAAAATACGACGAAATGACAAACAACAGTACACAAATCACATCATAGAAAAATAAAGACTGTGCAGCACGAACACCGCCAAACCCGGGGGTGATCCCAGGTGCTCCGGAATGGTGAGCAGATCGTGCGCCACATGTGGCACCCATCGTGTTGTTCATGCTGTATTATCATTTCCATAAAAAAAACATGCCCGTGATAGCATACTTTTGATGATGCCTCATTGCTAAGCAGACAATAACTTTAATAAGTCTGCACCTTCTACGGACTTACAAAGGAGCAGACTGTATAACGACTAGAACCTGTTGTAACACTGACACAACAGAAGGTCACGTGTAATACAGTCGGGTATGTTGCTCTTCGCAGATAAATTTATTTCTCTAATTCTTTGACAATTTATACCTTTCTGCACTCATTGTATAAAAAAATTTAATCAACGTGTGGTTGCCGGTGATCTCAGAAGATGATTGGATGAATTTAAGGGTCATAACCTTTATCAGCTCAAAATATGCCAACAGGTGTTAATGAAATTGACAACTTTGTGAAATGTGGAAGGCACTCGAAGGGGGTTTTGGTTCAACAAAAAATGAAAATGTATTTTTTAATCATTAGAGAAACAGATTCTTACATAGTTACTCGTGAATTATCGGATTTATCCAATCTCGATAGTTAAATTATATTTAAATTTTAACTATCTCGATTGGATAAATCCGATAATCCACTGGTATCAATGTAAGAATCTATATTTCTAATCCGTTATATTTGGATATTCTCTTTTCTATTTCTATTTTTAGAAACTGTCACGTGTGGAACTAGTTTATAGAATTAGTTTGATTAGTATTTAATTATAAGTCTTTGTGTTAGTGCTGCACGGATATTTCTTTGGCGGTATTACGGGTGGAGAGAAAGGGACTGGATCGTAACCCTTGGCTACCGAAGATGTGATGCAAGTGACCCTTACAATTATAGAGGAATTGCAATAACAAGTGGAATTGGAAAACATTTTATGTTTACGATTGGACAGATGTCTTCAGGACATAGTATTATACATGATAGTCAAATTGGATTTACAAAGAAAGCTAGAACGGCAGACCATATGTTCATACTTAACTGCCTCATAAACAAATACTGAAATGCAAATGTTTGCCAGTTTTGTTGACGTTCGGAAGGCTTTTGATACTGTTTTATAAAAACATACAGGAATTAAAATAAGCTACTAGATATTGGGGTTGGGTCTTTAGTGTAGAAAATGTTGATTTACTTAAAATGATATGTAATTTTATATACAAATAATTTAAGATTATTTTATACATACTAGGTTTTACCTATTCTAAATTTTTGATAAATTTACTTGTTGCTTTAAGTGTCAAACAAATACTAGTCTTTTTTTTCTATAAATGAAAATATTCTTATATCCTAATGGCATCGTCCCCTAGTGTCAACTGCATTCAAGCTATCTTTTATTCTTTTGATAAAGGTAGGAAAAGACATTTTCCAGATATGTATTTAGCATGTCAGTCAGTGTTCAAGATATCATCCCCTGGTGTCCGCTGCATTTAGGATACCACACTTCTTGCTATCTTACTTGCTGCTGACACGGGAGAGACTGTAAAGAGTCTCTCTCTCTCTCTCTCTCTCTCTCTCTCTCTCTCTCTCTCTCTCTCCAAAAATTTGCGGAAGCAGATTTAACATTGTTGTGCTGATATATAGAGTAATTATATATATATATGAGAGCCATGTTTGTGATTTGAGTTATCCCCCGTTGGCCGATTAGAACATATTATAATCATTTAATTTTATTGTACGCTTAATATTAGATCCATAATTGGAAATAAATAAGACAACGAAAAGATATGGGCCCATAAATATGTTACAATTATAATATGAAATTTGCGTCAACCTTTCTCATCACTGAAAACATCACAAGCGTTAAAGGAATGCTTATACCGTCATTGAAAATTATTCATGTTCTCAATTTTAATGCAAATGAGAATTGTAGTACATTTAGTTTAAATCATTCGTTCAAATAATTTTTTTAAGTGACTGATCAATTCCATTATTTAACGTTGAAGTTGTATATTTAACATATCGCAATATATTCAAGACCGCTTTTGTAGTCTTACTGTAAAATTAGAATTAAAATGATAAATAAAATATTAACTTCACGTCATTGGGTCAAACGGATGAACAAATATTCTTTTTCTACAACATTGCAATATATTTCTCCCAGTTTACTTTTTATTATGTGATTTGATTTAAAAATTACACCCATATGGGTCAACAAAGTCACAAAATATAACACATTATTAACACAGTATTAACACAGTATTAACACAGTATTAACATTCAAGAATTTCAGGTGCAAACATAAAACAAAACACATAGTTATGATAATGCAATTGTTGATGAACATGGACCTAATTGTTGATGAACATGGACCTAATTGTTGATGAACATGGACCTAATTTTTGCAACTCTAAATATATATACATGTACATGTATAAATAAAGCGATGTGGTATGATTGCCAATAAGACACCTATCCACCACAGTTCAAATGAAGTTGATATAAGCAGTTATTTCTAACCGTACAGCCTTAAACAATGAGAAAAACCCATACCGTATATTCGGCTATGAAAGGCCCGGACATGAAAATTGAGAAACAATTCAAACGAGAAAACCAACGGCCTAATTTATAACAAAACAATTTACGAAAAACAAATATGACACGCATTAACCGACGATAACTACACTTTATTACAGACACGTGAAGAATGTGGCGAGATTAAACATGTGTGTGAGCGCTCAACCCTTCCTTAACCTGGGACAGTGGTATAACTGCACACCATAAGAACAAACTGTAAAAATCCGAAGCAATTGGTTTAACTCAAAAGATCGGTTTGAGGGACAAAAACAAATAACATAAAAACAAAAGGAACAAAGCACCGGAATTAGAGTATCCGCAGTTACTGAAAGCCAATTAAAAATAATAAATAAATCATTTAGACTAAAATATCAATCAGTACAAAGATTGTTTATCAGACCTCATTTTCAAAAATTTTATAAAGTAACCAAATGATGTCAAAAGTTAAGATTCAGGATTTAAAAGTTTTTTTTAGCTTGAAAAGTGGTCGATAATTTGTAATAAACAAGTTTTATATTATTGATTTCGGTTTATAATCTAGAAAAGATAGGTATTATAATCTACAAAAGATAGGTTTTACCGTATAGAAAAAAGGTATTACATGTTTGTACTCATAATTTTAAGTTCCACTATATCATGACTATAATTCCTCTTACAGCAATATATGTAGAAGATATATTATTTAAATCTTTCCTAATAAGGTACGGTGGTATATATGTCCGGGTATTATTGAGAACAAAAAAAATATATGCTAGCTGTGAAATCAACAGAAATTTCGATCACGAAATGCTATGAATCAGAAAAACATTGAATCATTCTTATGCGTGCTCTAAATCACGAAATCACGATTTTTCAAAAGACGGTCTTATTAACCTTAGCTACTTTACTATACTATACCACGGTCTGGTAATCAAATTCTAAAAAAAAAACTGCCATTTAAATATAACATTCATTTTCAACAATCGATGGACAAATGTACTGAGGTGGATTTTCTATTATTTATATTGGGTATTTAAATTATGCAAGCATAGTTTACGACAATTAACAGATCGTAATACACCGGGTACATTTGTACATACACACACCACTCTATACGCTAAAACGATACATCAGTATGAATACAACTCAGCGCCATCTGTTGTTATTATTATTTGTATGGAATACTTCTGGAATCTTTACACTTTCGAATATTTTATCACATTTTGAAGAAACAGTTGGAGGTAAGAATACATAAAAATTGTATGTTAAATTCAAGATTGTAACCGCATATATGAGAGGGGGAGGGTTGGAGCTGATCCGGGTAGAATAATTAGTTATCGTGCATTTGTCCTGTACGTGCAATTGGTCATTTCAATTTGCCGAATACAAGTGCTTGTCTTTTACATTTAGAAATACAATTTTTCGGCCGGGGGGGGGGGGGGGGGGGGGTAAATATAATAATCCAAAAGATATTTTGTCACTTCATTTTTTTCATTTCCTCGTTCGGTAATGATTAAAATAGTCGTTCAAATTACGAAATCTTCCTGTATGTTTGTTATCACTAGATTGACAATCAAGTACCATTATTGTTTGTAAGTAGCTTATTTAATTACCATTACGGAAGAAATTGCCGTTAAAGTGTAGATTATAGATAACATAAGATTTGTGGATTAGATCAACAGACAAAACTAAACACGACATCTAAAAGAGACATATTGCATGCTGTTCAGCAACAGGGAAGTGACAATGCCATTAGGCCAATCTTAAAATATTTTCGCGTGTAGACAGATTATGAATTTATTCAACAAAGAGCTACAACCTTCACGTTAGTATCGTATCGTGTCTACTAGCAAAATTTAATATGTCTTTGTCCTCAAAGAATGATCATTACTGCCTTGAAAAATATTACTATACATATATAAGGTACCGAACGATTAGCCTAATAGTATATATTACAATCATAATTTTGTATTACCTCTTTTTCTTTTAAATATAATTCAAACTTTAAAACTTCTTTAAAATATGATTTATCTGAAAGGAACATTTGAACCCACGCGTCTGTTTTCAATACCTTTATATTCGCCTTCATCAGATTTTTTGATAACAGAATTGAGATTTTGATATTTAAATCAGTAAATGTGCAGTTTATCAATGTGCAAGCATATCAATTACAAACGAGAGTAAACGGAATAGAGAATAATGTGCAAAATGTGTAGAAAAAAGGGCAAAGAAAATAAAGACTAGAGAAAAATTGGCCAACAAAATTAAGAATAGAGAATAATGGGCTGTTAATATGAAAAATAGAGAAAAACAGGCAACATTTATAAAGAATAGAGACAAATGGCTTGAAAATCAAAGGATACAGAATAGAAGGACCCGGCATCCAGACCCTAATGTAATAATTGTGGTAATTTATTGACGTTAAGGAGCAAATACTGTAAGCGGTGAAAGCAGATATTATAATAACATATACAGTGTATCTTGCATTGATTGGCTTAATTATGCTAAGGAATAGAACCTCCATGATCATAAACATCCGCATAATTCCAAAGGGTGGATTTAGTGTAGAAACATGCAGGACACCTGCACTTCTAATATCCGGCAGTCAGACCGCTGTTGAGGTGCGACCGTTTCGTTTACCTGGATGTCATAAGCAGACATAAATGTTTCAAAATTGGGACGTCAAATATCTATATATATATATATATCTGCAACACAATTTTGTATTAGTTTCTTTCATTTAAACATAATCCATAATAATAAAATCTGATTTATCTGAGATGAGCATGCACTTAAACCCACGCTTCTATCCTTTGTGTCTTTATATTCGCAAATTCTTCGCTTGAACAGATTTTTCTATAGAAATATTGAGAAAGTAAGTTGATATTTAAATTAGTGGAGGTGAAGTTCAAATTAAATTTCTATCAATGTGCAAACAAATCAATTACAAAAGCATACAATATAATAACTCTAGTAAATTATTGACATAGATGTATGTATTAACAGACAGTAGACTTTAAATGGTGAAGGCAGACATAAATATATAAACAGTTTACTTAGTTAATTGGGCTCATAAACCCATTCGCAAAAATCTAAAGGGTGGATTGGCTACAGCAATAAAGGAAGGTCTATAGAAAGGGGAGGGAGTCTTACATTTCGGTATTCTTAAAATGTTTAAGTCATTATTCTTTACTCTTTAAAAATGACGCTCATTCTGTAAAATTCCCATGAAAATGATTTAACAAATATTATTTATTCCCTATATTTTTGCTCGTTTTTCTCTTTTCATTACTATTAATTATTTTTTAGCCATTATTTTCTGTAAACCCTATCCACACCCTCATATATAGCCACCTACACTTTTACAATCCGACACTGCAGCCGTTGCTGACGGAGCGACCGTTTGGTTGTACGATATGCCAAACACAGCCATTTAAAATATGGACGTCGAATCTGTTGTCTTGTTTTGAGATAGTGTCATACACTCTGCACGTAAAAGAACATGTGTAAAACCCTTTGAGGATTCCGTATAGGTAACATATTGCTTTTTTCAATGGCAGTAGAGCTTTCCCGCCGTTTATCCTTGTAGACCTGCTTTCCGAACCATCAAAATTGAATTTAATGTTGGCCACTGAAGGTTAAAGCAAAATCAATTAATCAATCGATTGTCCGTATAAATCGTACTGTACGTTTTCAAACCCTCATGATTACCGGCTATCGAGTGAATATAATTCTATCATAATACGTGATACGGCAGATACAAAACGATCTGTGTCCTTGATTTTTATTAAAACAATTGTTTTTGCTATCGTGTAATTTTGAATTAATTAACATTAATAAATGGAAATACGGGTTAATTGCACGCTTTCTATTGTGTCTAGCAACTTCTCGAAACCAACCATGACATTGATCGATTGTCCTTTCTAAATACCTGAGTTACCCCAACTTCAAACTAATTGAAACCTTCAATATATTGAGTCATTTCCAACTAATAATTTGTAGTAGAAAAATCATTGTTTGAGTCATTTAGCTATTCTCATCACTTGGTGTCCATCATCCGTCGTCGTCGTCCGTTATCTTTCAAAAAATCTTCCTCCTCTGAAACTACCTGATCTAATTTATCCAAACATGGCCGCAAACATCCTTGAGGTATGTAGTTTAAACAAAAGTGTCCGATGATCTAACCGACATGGCCGACATGGCTAAAAATAGAACATAGGGGTAAAATGCAACTATTGTCTTATATATCCTGAAATTCGTTATAAATAGAGAAATTCTGGCAAAACAAAAATTTTCAGAATATATACCTGTTATCCATGTACACAAAAAACTGATAGTTACTCCTTATGGGACTGTTGTCCCTGAAAGACGATTTGTTTTACTTATTTTGGCATATTGGCCAAACATATATTAGCCTGAACAAAAATATTAAAAATTAACAACAGGACAATATCTACATATTTGTCAAGATGGCAGAAATTTTCAGTTGACTCCTTTTATGAGCTATTGTTCCTTTAATGATGACTTTAACCAAACTTTTGCATATTTGCATATTAAGCTACATGTATAGTAAATAAAGTTGAATTGCAAAATGAAAAAAATTATCAGCAAGATAAGATTTGCAAATATATCAACATGGCCGAAAATGTCAGTCGACTCTTTATAGGAGTTATTGCCCTTTAACATTGTTTAATGATGATTTTTGCCCAACTTTTGCATATATTATGCTAAAACATATTACTGTAATGTTGGAGACTGGCCATTGTTGAAGTTGTTTGTGGATCAAGGTGAGCGACTCAGGCTCCTTGGGTCTCTGGTTGTTGTTTTTGTTTGTATGCACCGGCAATTCTTATTGTTTATTCATGATATTCAATAATATCAATACACGCATGTTTATTTAATCAAATTTAGTTATACATTACCTTTCATAAGTGATTATTATTATTTTTATTATTATTTAATCCTTGAAAATGTATATTTATGTATAAGAAATATTTGTGTGGGTCGTCTTCTTTTAAAATCACTATTCAGCTAAACTTGCCAGACCGCTCAAACAATCATAGTGATGGAGCACGCGATATCAAACATAAACCAAATAATTTAAAAGTCATTCAGAAAAGGAGTGTATAGATATATGATTAAACTGTTTGCCACTTTTCTTTGAATCACAGCGTCTATTTCGGTCAAAGGTTAATATATGTTTACCATGATTGAGCTTTGGACGACATATTTTCTTTTTATTGTTTAATCGCTCGTCCAAATATTTTTCAAACACTTGACAAAAAAGTAATTTGCTTGGAGCATACATAAAGCTATATCAATTTAATGTTTTACCATGAAGTGTGAAATTGTTTTAAGAAAATGGGATAATCTTAGTACAATTAGGTCAAAATTTTTAATTCCTATTGTAAATATTTCATGTACATGTATCAAATGTTGAAAAACTGAAAACTGGTGCTTTATTATTTTTATTTTCACTTTCGATGGCCTTGTTAATTTTTATCTTTGCGATGATCAATGCAGTCATTAAAAACTACCATTAAAAGTGTTAATGTTGCTGCACGGCAAGTTTGGCTTAAGCACATTTTTTGCAAGTCCAGCAGTTTAATCGAAGCCAGTTCAATGTGTCTTATCTTCCGTTTATATGTGAGACAGGCCAAGAGCTAGCTCCCATTGTTTGCTTAAATTGTTTTCGTTGTCTGTGTTCTTTCTTTCTAGAAGCTATATAATCGACTCGTTATCAGAATTATATTTCTGTCCAGGAAAAAGGAGACATTTCTTCCTGTTGACTGTAACCTTGTGACGTAGCTTTGGACGACATGCTCTTGTTATTTTTTAGTCGCTTGTCGAAATAATTTTTGCGAACTCGTAACAAAATAGTCATTTGCTTGGAACAAATATAAACTAGATACATTTCATTTAATGTTGTACCATGCAGTATGAAAGTGTGAAAAGAAGTAGAACATCTATGTCACTGGTATCATAAGGTCAAATGTGTAAATAGTGTAAGAAATATAGGCGAAAGTCTAAAACACTGTTTATTTTATTCGATTCATGAGTATCTATTCCCTGTATTCTAACTTTACATAAACGCAAATTTAAGTAGATAAAAGAGTGCCCATATATTTAATCACAATTTAAATATATATCTTTGTGTTGACAAATATGAAAATAGAACACGATTTGAAAAGAGTTCTAAGAATGATTCCGACCAAAACTGGTTCAAGTTACCAGTAGACTA